TGTGGCGGAGGGGCCGGGGGCCGCTCGTTCTGGGTGAGTGTGGCGGAGGGCCGGGGGCTGCGGCCCGCGGCGGGCAGGTGTCTGCGGCCCGGCTGCCATCCCTCCCGGGCCGAGGGAGCACTGCCGCGGCGTAAGCGGACGGCGGTATTATTGTCCCCGTTTAATGCCCGAAGCTTCGGAGCTTTCCGAGAGCAGCCGGGAGCTGCTCCAGCTCCTGGTGTTCGCTTGCCAGCGCAGGGGAAGTGATGCTATAGATGTGCTGGGAGAGGTTTTTCCTTTAATTTTATTACGATAATTTCCTGGCACATCTAGTGGCACGTGATCCAAGGAGCCAGGAGGCGTAGTACAATAACATACAGTGGTACAATGTGGCAGAAACACTGTTTTGCTCCACTTTATATTAAGACAAGAGGACGCAGCCTCAGGCAGCACCAGGAGAAGTTTAGATGGGATATTAGTAAGCAGAAGCTAACAGTAACTGGTTTCCTCCTCCAGTGTTATTTCGTGGGAATCTGACCTGGGCAGGTTGAGTAAGTAAAACATGAGCAGATGATGGGCTGTGAGTTCACTGTTACTTCCAGCGAGATAGATCTTGGTATTTAGGACAAAATGAAACTCCTGTCATGGGACACGACTTTATGAATATTCATAGAGCCTCCAGTCATGGGACTGGACTGCATGAATATTCATAGAGCCACCTGGTGTTTACTGGCCAAAAGTAGATTCCTAGGGAAGAGATTGGTTATTTAGAGCAAACACGTGGAAATGCTTTCCACTTGGAAGTTGTGCCAGCTTCCAAGAATTTGAAATTTAATGTCTTCCCTAATGAGAAGTTCAAAGTTGTGGTAGTTTTTGGTGTCTTCTTAACCAAGACATAGGAGTAGGATGTGTGATGTGGTCCATTTGAGTGGGCTGTTAGATTTTGACGTGTGTATCTTTGTAATATGTGTAATGGCAAGGTAAATATCAGAAAGGATAGAAAGAAGACAGAACAAACCTAACTGTTGCAGGGCCAGTCTCCAGTTCTTGTCTAAAGAAATAAATAAAATTCTTGAACAGCGCTGTTTCCTGACAGTTACGCATTCACAAATGTACCTAGATGCAATCATGCTGCTGTTCACATTTACGACCTGAGGATTTTTTGGCATGAAAATAGGTGAAGCAATCTGTTGATGTAAAAGTGTTTCTAAGGAACACTTTCACACGTCTGTGTATGTTCTGAAGAGGTGGTTTAGGACATTAATGACCTGACTTAATGGGTACAACGTAATATGTAATTATAAGCAGTTGTGTAATTATAAACAGTTTCCACCTAAAAAAGAAAAACAAACCAAAAAAAAACCCACTAACAATAAGTCCCAAGCCCTGAAACAAAGAAAAACCCATTCCTTCATTAAAAGGTTTGCTAAAATCGTAAAGACCACTGTTTCCTTTGCACCATATCTAAACTTTCTATTTATGTGGAGAAACATCTGAGAAAGTGAACTCTGTGTTAATGATTGAACAGAAACACATAGGTAAATAAAGTACAGGCAATTACTGGCTGGTGCCTTTGCTCTGTTGTTGCAATAGTGAGCTGCTGGCTGCATTTGATTGTGTTTCATGCAAAGTTTGAACTGCAAAATCCAAGGAGAATGCCAGTGGAGTAAAACAAGTCTCAAAGCATGTTTTTTTTTAAAGAATATCTTTGTAAGTAAGGTAAATAAAAGCTATTTTAAAGGTAGGTGGTTTGTTTCAAGCAAATATTTTTTCCTGGTGGATAGGATTTAAAAATTGAAAAATACAACAAAGTAGTTGTCTTCCTCTCCTCCTTCCCCCACCCCCCCTTTCCTCCATGGAGATATGAATTAGCTTTAGGTAAAATTATGCAATGTTGTGTTTCTGTGTTTGTAGGAAGGGACTGTCCAAAGGTTCCCCAAATCATTGTCTCTCTGGAAAAAGTGGAGTGTCTCTTCCATCAGTTTTTGCAAAAAATGTGCAAGAAGCCATTGACAATTATACATGGTATGTATACATGGTCTACTTCTGAAACAGTACTTAATTAACTCACTTTTACTTAGATATTTCAAGATTGGAATTAACTTTCACTAATCATGCTTCTAGTCATTCTCATGAATAATAGCTATTGCACAATTCAATGCAGAACACAAATTGACCTAACCTGTTCAAAGAGTTTGAACTTTACTCCTGGTTTATTATATCGGTTTGAGTATTTTTAGACTACTGTAGAGGGCACTGTTTAGATCTGGACGGGAAATCAGACGTCATGATTAAATTTAAATCATGCTCACTAAGGTTGCAAGTTAGTTAACTTTCAAGAAGTTTCAGGCCAGATGATACTGGTTAGGATTTGCCTGGCCTGCACATTCAATTGCCATCGCTTTCCCTGCATCCCACAATGGTGGTAGCTGGCAGGGATCAGCTAGAACTTTGAGGGCTTGGGTTGCCAGCTTAAATTTTCGAGTGCGCCAGATTCAGCAACATAAAAATCCCTGCATAGAGACGTGTAACTCAATGCTGTTTGAAGCATTGGTAGAGATCTTGTGCTTAGTTTTGCAGAACTTTCTGGTGGTAGCTTCTAGTTTAAAGAGGTAAAGGTTATCTTTAATGTGTGTTTCATTTGATCATAGCTGAAATGGAGAAACCAAAATAATTGTTAGATCTGGAAACATATGGACGTGTGTGTGTGTATATATATATATATAAATATACATATATATATATTCAAACGCATATTTTAGAGTACCCATACAGTTGTGTTTATACATGCAAAAGCATAATAGTGTAGAAGAAATTGCCTTTAAGGCAGTAAGTGGTACTAATAGGAGCATATATTCATAGCACTCTACTTAAAAATATATGCTTGCTCCTCTTCTCAACAGGAATACATATTGATATCTATTTACTTGATTGGTTGCTTTATTTAAAAAATGTTTATAATTGTGTTATATTGAAAATAATTGTGTTCTTCATTTTCATTTGTTGTCTTTTCAGTGAAACGCTTTCATCTAGTGATTGTACAACACCCACAGAGTTGAATAATTCTTGGTCTGGAATAAACAGCTGTACTACTAGTTTGTCTACTGAAAGAAGTTCAGTTTACTCCTGGAGGGATGATGTATGTCACAGAAACTTTTATAGTACCCTTTCTCTAAATACAGTAGAAAAGATCAATTTTTACTGATGCTGGTCATGCAGCACCTCATCCACAATAGCCTAATTATTAAGTGTATTAATTGAGTATTTAAAAAATAATTTTGATTGCAAGTTGATATTGGTGCAGTTGATGGTAGCAAAGGAAAATGGAATAAGATGATAAATGATGAAGTTTGGGGGAAAAAAACTGTTTTACCAAAAACGGTAGGCCTAGCTTTTTGAGTCCAAGAGAATGATAAAATCCATCTTTTCAAACACTGTGTACTGCAGCCAGTGTCTAAACTGAATTATTCTCAGTATTTTTAGTTATAAAGTACACTCATAAACATGCATATCGATTTCCCGGTCTTGGTAAATGTTTAGCTCTTACATCAACTCAGTTCTTTTTTGTAGATGATGTAGAGGTTGTAGCTATTCTAAAGGCTGACCTCTGAGGCATACCTGGTGCAGGCCAGCAGTGTTGAATAAATCCAAAAGCATTGCAGCTGCTGCCACTTTCATTTTAGAAAGCCTTCCGTGGCTGGTAGTATAGGTAAAGGTAGTTCTGCCATTCTTTTTGCATAATGTCCTAACCTCTAGAGTACTGACCCCATCTGTCACTGGGAGCCCTTCAGGAGAAAGCCTGACTCTGGATTATTCAGTAATCTATGTGAGACTTATTCTGTCATTCCTTTTCAGTGTGATCTCTTCTGTAATCTGAAGTGCTTTGAGGCATTCAGCTGGAAGTGAGCAGGTGTGATTTGGGCCTTGAGTATTACCAGGTTTTTTAGTGTATCAAAGTATGTAATGTGGCAAATGTCCTTATGAACAGTGCACAGCTGAGGGACCCTCAGCCAGGTGCTTGTTTCCACATCACTGGATAAAATCAGGCTCTCCTCAGGCATTTTCATTTGCTTCTGTGTTACCTGTCTCTAGTTGCACCGAGTTGTCGGTTCAATGAAGAGGTAAGGAAGGGCGTTTCTCACACTGACAGCTGTTTGCCAAGCACCTGACTCAGTCGCACAGGTTTAAGGTGTCTCCTCTTTGCCCTCTTAGCTGTTGTACTCAGAAAGGAAGAAGAGCACTGCTTGAAAGAGCAGGGAGCTTTGGTGCCCTGGGTCCCAGAGATGCAGTGCCGTGAAGGGAACAAGCTGGGAGTCCAGACACCTTATAACTGTTTTGTTTTATTGAGGGCTAATCCGAGGCAGCTGTATGTTACGTGTTAATGTCATAGAAATGTAGTTCCTTTTTGCCAAATCAACTTGCTCAGGCCAGCTATATGGGATTCTTTTTGTTTGTTTTGTTTTTTGCATTGAGGTATATAAATTATTTCTAAAGTATATAGTCTGAATATGCATTCTGACACTCTCAGCCAAGTTGATTCAAGTTGTTCTTTGAATATCATGGAAATTTTAATACAGATGCATATTTGCTAACAGTTACTAACTCTGTAATATGTAGGAATTTGATAAAGCCAACACACAGAGAGTGCAGCAGTTATTTTGGGAGATTGATGAAATGCTGTTTGAAGGAAAAGTGAGCTCCCAAACAGAGAACCTGCAGGCAGAATGTGCAGATTGGGTTGAACAATTTCCTCATCTAAGGTAAGGAAATTCTTGCTAGTACTAGTTTTAATCCATTATCATACTAATTTGAATTTTTGGGGTACTCTGGTATGTTTTGGGCATCGACAATGTTGTGCATTCAAATCTCTGTCTCTGGGACTGAGTTGTACTGGAGTTGCTCAGTAAATCTGCGTAGTGATGCTTTAGCAATTGATGCCCTTTATTTTACTTAGTAAAATGATTGCAGGCAAAGGTATTTCATTAGGATGTACTGAGAAAATAATAACACATCATTTTCATGATGAATTTTTCTAAATAAAGAATACATCTTGTAAATAAATAGTTGGTTTTACTGTAAGTGGAAACCTACTGTGAGATTCCAAGAAAGCCAGAGTTTATTCTGTAATTGATTCTCTAAAAAGTAATGAAATATGAAGGTGACCACATGCCTCACATGTTCTGCACAGCTGTAATGTCCTGCTAGGCCGTGTGAAACAACGTGTTCTATTAAACCAGCGATTACCAGCTGAACAGATCTGAGGATGCATACATGATTGATGAGAACTGCTTTGCATACATGTGCAAAGTTTCTAGGCATCCTAAACTGCTTCTTATAACACGGGACAAGTGAGTGTTGCTCTACATGGTACTGTCCTACCTTCATAAATGATGGCACGACATTCTTTGTGACAAGTGGCTACTCTAAAGCCATTCTAGACATAGGCCTGCGTTTGTACTGACTGTCTTTTAGTCAGTAGTTTGTTAACACCCTTAAAAAGACTGCTGTCAATAACTGTATGCTTTCAATGCTTCTAGGCAATTTGCAGAGACATGGCACTTGTAAACATACACTAAAATTAACTAACAAAGCTTGTCACACTGTCAGGAGCAAGAGTGACTTGCTAAATAAATCTGAGGCAGGTTTTACTAGCATCAAGCCATGCTTTGCCTGGTTTAGATACTGTGAAAATTAATAGAACATGCATAAAATGGAGACACATTTTTGTGCTATGTAACTTGATCAAAATAATCAATAATTTCTCTATATTTTTAGGGCATTTTCACTGAGTAGAATTGAAGTTATTCCCTGTGTGTAGGATTTTTTCATTCAAATCAAATGCTGGCAATAGCAATCAAGTCCAAGAGGTTGAAAGTGAATTGAAGACATCTGGGAGCTTCTGCATAATTTGCAACTAATCTCCTGTATTTTAAAAACAACAGTTATTTTATTTAATTAAGATTCAACCTTAAACATTGGTAAACCAGCTGTGTTGATATATGAATATGTGGCTCAGCATGTGAGAATAAATAGACTCAAGAACTGTCAGCAACTGGGGAAGGATCAGATCTATTAAAGAGAAAGCTTTTTGTTCTTAGCTTTTAAAATAAAAATTGAAAAAGAGTCTTAGAGCTTCATGTTCTGCAAAAAGCAGTCTCAAGAAAGCATATTCAGATGAGCCTGAACATTCCTGCTTGCTCTACAGATAAGACTGTACTAATCCCCTGTGAATTCTAGTGAAAAACAATTCAGTGATTATTATTTAACTATGTTGTGCTCAGAAATTATTTTTAGCATAATTTTGTGTATATTAGCTAGAGTTGCTTTCACGTTTTCTCTCTGCCTCTCTACACTTACATGTTGGAGTTTGCACATTTTCAGAACGTCAACTGTAGCCTTAAGTTTCCATGTAAACATTTTTGATTAACTCACACTGATGAATACTGGAGTTGGATAAATAAAGTCATAGCACATGTTATTTCTCTTCTGTGTCCGTTTTTAAATGTATCTTACAGAGGTTTTGGATAAGAAAAGAAGTGCCTTTACTTTTAGCTGCCTTTAGAATAGTAACAAGTTTTACTGTTTGCTCTCAAAATTTATAAACTAGAATCTCATGATGTGTAAATCAGCTTAACTTTAGTGACTTAAATACTATGTGATGCTAAGGTAATACACAAGGCTCTGCCTCTCTATGGGTTGCTTTTCAAAGCAGATGTAAGGTGTGCTTTTGCATTGCCTACTGTTTGCAGTGTTTGTATTCTGGATATTTGCATATGGCTTTCGTTTCCATCCTAAGTACTGCTTGTTCTCGCCTTTTTATTCAGGGTTCTAGGAAAGCAGCTCCTAGTGCCAAAGGATGAAGGCTTTCAACATTTTCAGAGCAGAAATGATGCCCATATAGATACTGAGCACGTGCCTGGCCTCCATGAATGTACTGGTAATACAAAAGAGTATGTTAATTTTTAAAAAGTTTTATTTTTGGTTTTTCCCCTTTAGAAACATGTGCAAATATTATTTATGTATTACTGAAACATGTCAGTATAATTTAATATGCACTTTATCCTTTCTTTGAATGTTAATTTCTTTAATAATTTAATTCAAATTAATTTTGTTCATACTTTTTTCAGGCTCTGTATCTCAGGCTCTAAACTGATCCCAACAGCATCTCTAATACATAAATCACTGGATTCAAATTCCACTGGGATTTCTGCTTCCAACTCAGCCATATATTCTTTCCTGGAAGAAGAAATTTATGATGAGGATGGACAAATAGAGGAATATCTTGCCTTTGACAAGGAGGAACTGTAAATAACAGATACATGTATTTTTGAAGAATGTAATGAATAATTGTCAGTGAACTGAGTCAGGGTTCATAAGCTGTTCTGTAAGATACAGTTCCTTCTGTCCCTGTGTTTGGTAGCACAGTGATCAGAACACTCACTGGACATGTGGAAGATTAGGTTGTTGTGAGCAGCAAGTCAAATCATGCTGTCTTCTTGACTGTGCAGCTTAGGTTTCCTGTGAGTTGAATGTTGCTGCAGCCAGGCTACTGGGTGCATGAAAGATCATATCCTGTTTTCTAAAAGGCCTCTATGAGGATAAAACTTCAGTAGAACTAGTTGGGCACAAAGCACAGCTTTTTGTGCTAAGGCCTTATGCACACTTAGAATAAAGAGGTAGTTGTTCTGAAGACCTGAGGAGCCAGACGGAGACCCTTTCAGTCCTCATTTTGAAAGAGAGGGCTGGGGTTGCTGCCTTTTTAGGAAGCATTTAGGTTTAAGAGTACTCTCAGCAGTCTTTTCACTTCGTCTTACTAAGTAAGCAAACTTAATTTGGGAGGAAAACTTATCTGAAGGTATGTTTCTCTCCTTTGTGTCTCCTTTATATGCTTCTTGTTTCCTTCAGTTTAGGAATACTCTGTTCTCCATGACTAAAGCATTACGTGTTTAAAAGCCTGGCAGGAGAACATTTCGGTCATTTTGTGAGTTGGACCACTCAGCCACATCTTACAGTTAAGAATTATGCAGTTCAGTTTGAGGAAGAAGTGACAGAAAAGAGAAAGTAAGATAGTAGAAACCAGTATGAATTTGGAATGATCTTTGTGATCTCAAAAAACAAAGAACATTCCTGAGAAAAAAAATAAGAAAAAAAGGCTATGGGCTCTCCTGTTGTCAGGCTGCAGAAATCCTTTGAAGTTGTTTCATCTTTGATTAGTGGCAGAAAATTGCAGATGCATGTAGGTACACAGGGCATGCTAAGAAAGAAATTTTCTGTATGAGAGTTCTCTTGACAAATACATCAGATGTTGTCACGTTACTGCAAAAATATGGGATTTATATGTGCCAGGTATAAAACTTTTCCTTAGACCTGCAGGTCTTTCTGTTGTAATGCCTTGATGGGATTTTTTTTAATTTCTCAGCTGCAAACAAAAAGAGAAATCATCATATGTATTTGATAGGTTTGTGTCCCTTAGGTAAATTTGATTGTAAATATTTTGATGATCTCCAGCTGACTGCCTTTTCTTCCCTATGTATGTTTCTGTATTGGAGGAGGGGGGAAAAGGTCAAACCCCATGGGAATTCTTTTGAATTTGTTTCCTTTATTAGTGAGGATGAGAGTTGGGAGCAACAGAAAATGCGTCTTTCTGAGAAGAGGTGTAAGCGTGGCATTCCCCCTGTTTCTCCCAATGCCTGTATCAAAGATGCTGTGGCTTCTGAAGTATTTGATCATGTCTGGAGCAATGTCATTGGAATACTGGCGGAACTGATTAAAAAAAATTGGGAAACTAGTATCCCAGGTATTTGATACTTCCATTTGAAAATACGATTTTTGTTGAATCTAATTCAGAGAAGTCATCCTCCCGCATTCCCTTAAATTAAGCACATTTTCCAAACTTCAGTTCAAATAAGCAGTGCTCTTGAACTGTAACATATGTAATGCTTTGCCACAAGAATGTGTGCACACATATGCACTTAAAATAAAACTGTTGAATTTTCAGCGAGCTTTGTATGAGAGGTGTAAAAAGAAAAATACTGACTGAAATAGTTTCATTGCAAGAGAGCATGTTTAAAAATGTAAAAATACTAACCACTGGCTTGAAGATGCAGATTGGTATGGTTAGCAGGGGATCGCTGACAATGTGATCTGAATCTAGGACCTAGGAATCAAAGTCTCCAAGTCCTCATTGTTTAAGCTTTACTAATAAAAAGAATCCTTAGGTAGTCGGATTCTTAAAGTGAGATAGGCAGTCTTGCTGATGTGCAGGAGTTCATGAGTTTACTTAAGATGAAGAAAAGGTGATGCATGTAATTTTATTTTATGCTTTCRTATTCTGACAGACTGTAGCAAGGAAAAGAAACAGCTAGGAAAATAAACTAGAGGTGAAAATTTATCTAGTGTGCATGAGTTTTTGGAAGCTGAGGTAAATTTCAGTTCTTTGAATGTATTTTAAAAGGACAGAAGTAAAAGAAGAATACCTGAGCGTGGGTGTTGGAAGTTTCCTCAAATGTAAGGGACACTTAACCTTCAGGTGTTACTGAAGTGTATAAATTCTTTTTACACCTCAGGTAGATTGTTTAGCTCTCAGTCTTATAGTCTGGGGAGGATTGTTAGCAGTATTATGATAGGTTTGCTCTTTTATCTTTTAGAAAATCATAAGCTTATGACAAATAGCTAGTATTTCAACTAGAAAGGAAAAGAATTTGGGTTTACAACAGAAATAAGATGGTACCATATATCCTAAAGAATCAGCATATAGCTGCTTTCAGACAATAGTATCAGTAGATGTTTTATTTAAGGTATTTTTTTTTTACTACTTAAAAAAATCTGGGGATTTTTAAATAGCATTTGAAAAATCTAAGCAGTATTTTCTTAGACACTCACCTTCAAAGCTATCTGTATAGGCCAGCTTGTATGTCAATGTCAGGGGAAAGCTTAGACAAATGGAAAAAAAAATATGTTGGAGTCTTAAATACCGTGGAAACTTAAAACTACATGAATGTCTTTATTTGCTGTGTAATGTAATATTGTTGGAACCCCAACAAATGCTGGCTGGTAAACACAGAAAATACTTCTTATTCCCTCTACTTTTTTGCTGTTGTGCAGAGTGTGACAAACAAATAGAAAAACTGAAAACTGTTACAACAAAACTGCCACATTTGCCAGTCATTCATACTACAACAGATGCTGGGAGCATTCGTGTTTCAAAAGGCTCTGAGGCACAAAATGTATCTTTTGGGGCTCATTCCATTCCATCACAGGTAAAAATAAACCAAACCTTTCTGTCAAATGGTGTTCTTTTTTCTTTTTTGTTCTTTTTTTCTTCAAACCTGGGACAGTCTTGTTGAAACTTGAAAAGGCCTTTTTTCTTTTTTTCCTCTTTTTTTATTCTTTCTTTATACCAATTAGGTCTACTTAAAGTTATCTGATTTAAAATAAGGTTTAATTAAATGTTCATTTTTTGTTTATTGTCACTTGTTTTTCTTTGGTGGTTCTTAAAGGTACAATGTATAACTAAAGTATTGCTGATGGATTTACGAAGTCTTGTTAGATTGCATTCTGTCCTTAAAAACGAATTTTGCTTTTATTGTGGTCCACTAATTTCTTGGTGGTAGAATTAAGGAGACAAACTGGGCTGTTCCCTGAACTGCTGGGCTGTGAAGTTGCAGCTTGAAGTGCCTTACTCACAACCCTGCAAGTTTCAGACTGACTCAGTCCTTTTCCTTTGCCTCTTGTGAAAGGGGATTCTTCACTACATCCACCAGCACATTGGCAGTAGGCCTTACCTGTCTTTGTGGAAGCTCATGCTTATATTGATGAAATGTCCTATTTTGTCCTGCTTGCTGCCTCCTTCCTTTGTCTCCTAATTCCTATTTTGCACATTTGTTTCCTTTTTCAGTCACTGCTGCTTTTTGGTTTTTTTCCTCCTTTCTCTCTCTACTGTGTTCAAGCAACTTCATTCTCTTCCTTTGGCTAGGAAGTTGCCCCATCTACTCATGAGAATTCTACTGAACCATCTTAAAAGAAACTTTCATAGAAAAAAAATAAAGTATTTCTTTACTATGTGCTTTTTGGCATTTTCCTTCTAAAAAGTAAAGGATAACACATAGTTGTTGCTTTTAATAGGTTCACCGTTTCTCCAGCAACTTCTATAGTGATCTGAATCGTGTGATGACAATTCAAGCAAAACCACTCCAGCAGAGGCATGTTGCCACAGCAGAAAAAATACAGTAGGTGCTGATACTGACATTTTCAAAATGTGACATAGTTCATACTACATAAAAATCTTTTGCAATTAGAAAAAGGCAGTAAAAAGGCTGTAACCTTGTTTGTGTCTGTCACTGATATAATAGTGGTTTGCAGAGGTTTGTTAAATTCTTGTTTTTCTTGATCCTAAGTCCTTATTTCTTTCCCTTTCTCTAGGAATGAGCAAGAAGACAAACAGCATAGCATTGCCTCCAGCGCTCCGAGTTCAGCACATGCTAGATTGGGGAGAATTTCTGCTAACAGTGTTCTCCCATCATCTCCAGCGCCACTGGCACCTTCTAAGAAACTACCAAGACTACCTTCTCTCACCTCTGACCAGCGCCACTTAGAACTTCCTAACATGTACAATGATGAAATCTGTAAAGGGACGAAATGGTGAGTTTTTAATTTTATTCTTTTCTCAGAACTATTCTGAAATTTCACCACTAAAGGATTTTTCAAAATACTAGGGAACTAACCCGTGATGTATTATTAATTATAGAATTCAGGGGGAAGAAGAAAGCAAGCAGAGCCATGATTTTTTGAGGAAAGGCATTTGTTTTATTTTTGTATTGCTGTATTAGATGCTATTACTTGCTGTAGCTGAACTTTATAAAGAAATATACTACTTAATAATTTCATATTACTTTAATGAAGAAGTCTGTAATGTGAATTCTCCTAAAAGAGGAATCCTCAAAATTCTGTAGGGTTGCCAGCTGGGATCGTTTATCTTCTGCTCGTGCACGTACAGCCCGGAACAAGTTGCCACCAATAAACTCTGAGGCTGTTGAGCAACATCTTTCAGTATCTCGAATGCAGCAGGGCTCTGTAAGTTGTGTTCATTTTTTTCGTGGTGAAGAACTTTAAGCTGTTTAGAAATAAATTGCTCTATGTCTGTGGTTGAAATGAGTAATTTTACAGCTTGTGTTGGTTTATATTTAATACATAGTTTTAACATGCTAACATGTGTTACATTGTGGTACAATTAGAATGCAGGAGAAGGCATTTAAAACCTCAGGTCACAGACAGATCATAGTGGAAAGACTGACAACAGAAAAGCCTGGTTTAAAACATAAAAAATTACAAAACCCAACAAGAAGATAGTAATCTTGCACTTCTGTGCTGCTGTATTTAAATAGCTCTTTTCGGTGTTTTATTCACTCATGTTGGGTTATAAGAATTAGAAAATTACTCTGACAAATAGAGAAGGATAATTGAAAAACCAGATCTTATATTGACCTTTTTTGAAGGTTGGAGAAGTAATAAATCACCAGAATGAAAGCAAATTGGCATGTTTATATGTCAACGCGCCAACATAGAAACAGTTGCACATCGGCTTGAAAAACAGGCAAACCCTTAAATTGGTGATTTTGGTTATTGAAAACTTAGTCTTCTTTTCTCCTTGTGAACTTTTGTGTGTCAACAGTAGAAAAATACTTTAACTTACTCAATTGTTGCTTAAAAAATGCAAGAATGCTTAAAAAAGCATTCTCGTATTTTTTAAGCAACAATTGAGTAAGTTAAAGAATGCTTAAAAAAGCATTCTCATAATGCTTTTTTTAATTCCCTTAGCTTCAAGAACGGTATGCTCATAGCAGAGTGTCAAGTGCAGTGGCTGGCAGGACAGAGCAACGCCCACTCAGAGAAAGAACTGTTGCTGTTGATCAGTTTTCAAGGCCCAGCACAACTCATACTTTCAGGGTATGTTACAGACTCCGTGGAAGCGGGGACATGGAAAAGGGAAGGGGTTTTCATTCATCCCCCTGTTGGTCAATACAGGGTCTCACTTCTGGATCTCTCCTGATTTCTTATGTATGAGGATTCCTGCTACCTGTAGAGAGGAGGATGTTAAAAATCTTGGGGAGGGTGTAGGACTACTGTGCGAGGAATAATTTTCTTTCAGGTCTAATGCATTGAACTGCTCATTTAAGGGTGTCTCTGTGCTAGAAGTGTGCAGTTTTAGTGCTGGTTGGAGCTTTGCACTTTGGTAGGACTCCGTCTGCTGGACTTGACCATAAAAATGATAATCAAACCATTTCAATAGATAAGTGTATCACACTGGCTAAGCATGTATCTTTCCTTTTTACAGAGAGACACACCTCAGAAAAAGTCACTGACTCCCATGGATTTTGCTAACCACAGAAGGACAGGCCAAGGATTTTTGATAACAGGTAGGCAAAGTAAGAATCACTTGGAAGGTAAAAGGCCAACAAAACCTATTAATCCATCACACAGTCAGAAATGAAGTGTTCAAGGAGAATTATCTCAGCATTAAAGGATAATGCGTTTTCTTGGCAGGATCTTTTGAGTTTGATTTTGAAGTTACTCTTGTTCTGAGGTAGTTATAACTCTTATGGGTAGGAATCCTGTAAAGCTTCTTTTCGTTGTTATGACACGAGAAGGAAAGGATTCCATCTCATCTCATCTCATCTCCTCTTGTCTCCTTTTCATGTTTTTAGTATTTTCACATATTTATAACTATAGCAAGAGTATGTGGTATACAGGCTAGATATTTTTGCAGCTTATAGAATGGTAACACCGTTGCATGCTTGTGAACTGCTCATGACAAATTTTATTTTAGCACCAAAATTAATAAACTTTTTGCGTGAAGAAGTAGATTTGAAAATGTGCATTTTTAACAAAAATATAAAGCTCTCATAAAAAAAAAAAAAAATCAATATTGATTTGCAGCTCTGTCTTGAATTTATAACACCAAAAGGGGAACAGCTCTATATAGCTTTGTTCCATTTTTACAGTTAAGCTGATTAGCTAGTTCTTGATGTATTTGAGTCCTTGTATGTAACCTTTACTTGTTTGGAAGTTCCTTGAATTTTAAATAGTTATATAATTGTCATAGTTACATAACAGGTGATGTAAAAATAAGGGCAGGTTAGCAAACATTGAGCACATGGAAGTAACTCATACATAATCTTGGGTTGTCTTGCAGAAACTGCAACAATTAATAATGTTTTATATTTTCCAGGTTCACAGAATTACTCCAGATCCCTTCAGAAAAATCCTCCAGCCTCAAGGAAGAGATTTCAGATTGCTTCTTAACCTGTCTTAGAAAGAAACAGAAACTATCTGCACTGAATGAAAGACTGAACCACTAAATTTGCCACCTAGTATTTTGTGTAACAAAGAAGGTGTGCATTATGCTGATATCTGCTGAGCCTTGCAATCCTCAGGATACCTACATTACCTTCTTTTAAAATTAATTGATCAGAGGTTAGATCAACTATTAGAGTAAAATGAAATAAATGGTTGAGGTGTCCATGCTCTTGTTTTCAGTGTCAAGAGACTGCGGCTGCACTTTTTTCTCAGGCATTCCTCCTTTTTTTGCCTTTCCTAGGGAATTGTTATTCTACCTATAGATACAAATAAGATAGGTTTAGAACTTAAAGTTGTGGTCCCACTTTTTTTGTTTCCTCAGTGTCAAAGATGTTCTAGTCTATCTAAATATCAGTCATATAAAATTTATACTTCTAACAGGAGTGTTTGCAGTATTTCCTCTTTAACTGCTGTTTTAACATTTTTTTTTTCATTTTTCAGTCTGTCTGCTTGTTGCAGTTGATCTCTTACAAATGTTGTCTTTACCTACTTTTTCTTCTTCCTTTTAATGCTTTAGAAACCTTATTAATTGCTTTTACTTACACTGTTCTAATGATCAGTAACTATGGGAACTGCTGAGATAAATTTCATTTACAGTAAGTAATGTTTTCCCTGCCAAGCCAAACATGTTTATAGATGCTGAGCAGGTGAACCAGTGTGCCGTAATACTGGTTAATCTGTAAGATTAACCGTAAGAGCATTCTTAATGCTAAGAATCCGTAAGAGCATTCCCACTTTTTTGAGGTTTCTTGTACCAGTTAATCATATTTTGAAATACACGAAACTTCACATTTTAATAAGGAAATATGTACTTAAATGATGAAAGCATTATTTCATACCTCTTTGTGTAGACCCAAGTGGGAAAATCAAAGAGGAAATTGGGATTGTGTTCTGTCCAGAGATCACTGCACTGATGATGTCCCTGGCTGTTAGTACTGTGTGCATTCACAGTCAGGGATTCCACCTTCCATCAGAGAGCCAACAGGTGAAGTAGATGTGGTTGAAGAGCTGTTGAAGGGTAAAGGAAGGAGAAAAAGTTCCTTGCCCAAATTGTGAAGTGAAGACGGGTAACAGTTTCTTCTACTTGGGAGCTGATACAAGCTCTCCTCAAGTTTTATGCATGTTCAAGGATCGATAATCTAAAGCAAAGCATTTGTATATTTTATATCTGTATTGTTAATCAGATTTCTGTTTTTTGTAAATGGTCATCAAGCACTGTATTCTTTTGAATACTGGCTAAATATGTTTCTTCTTCGACTAAAGCTGAACAGTGGTGATGATATGGTACAGTATCTGAGAAAGCAGCATGCTTTAACTTTGGAGTTGCAGATCAATTTCATACAGTTGCCTGTCAATTTGATGCAGCTTCTTCAGAAAATATACCAAAAATGACATCGCTTCCAATATTCACTTTCCAAAATTCAAAGAGCAGAACAATTAGCATCTGCTTCTTCAGCTTAAAAGGAAAGATTTGCTAATTACTAAAGGAGCAATGGATCGCTCTCAGGTGGCAAGGGAGAGGGAAGAAGGATGTTTGCTGTCTACCAGAAGTAGTTTAACACTTCTCCCTTTTGGTCTGTTTTTGGGCACCTGACAATCACTGGTCATGTTACCTCCTGATAATCAACATAGACTGATTCCAGGTTGGAAGGGACCTTAAGGATCATCTGGTCCAATCTTTATTGCCAAAAGCACAGTCTACACAAGATGGCCTAGCACCCTGTCCAGCTGAATTTTAAGTGTCCAGTGTTGGGGAATCCACCACTTCCCACCCAATGGAGAGATTATTCCAATGGCTGATTGTTGTTCTCATAGTGAAGAGTTTTCTTCTTGTCCAATCAGAATCTTCCCAGGTGTAGCTTGCACACATCACTCCTTGCCTTTTCCATAAGACTCCTTATGAAAAGGGAGTCTCAATCTTCTTCTTCTCTAATCCTTTAAATAGGGGAACATGGTGATAAGTGTGCCCTAAGTTTCTTTTCTCCATGCTGGACAAACTGAGTTTTCTCAGCTTTTCCTCACATGACAGGCTTTCCAGTCCTTTGGTTATCTTTGTTGCCCTTTACTGCACCTTCTCCACCTTATCCACATCTTTCTTATATAGCAGGGACCAACACTGAATACARTATTCTAGGTGTGGCCTGATCAGAACTGAGTAGAGTGGGATAGTGACTTCTTTATCTCTCCTGGTGTTGCAGCCAAGTCTCCTGTTGTCTTTCTTTGCTGCAGCAACAAGCTCTTCACACACACTGAGCTGCTTGTCCACCAGGACCCCCATGTCCCTTTCCATGGATCTTGTTTCTAGCCAGATTGATCACCAGCCTGTGCTGCTCCCTGGGATTCTATTTTTCCATGCACGTGACCTTATCCTTACTGAACCTCATAAAGTTTCTGTTAGCCTTATTTTCCAGCCTGTCCAGGTCTTCCTGCAGGGTGTCTCTCCCTTCCAAAGTGTCCACTTTCTCACTCAGTTTGGTATCACTGACAAGATTCGTCAGGGTACACTTGATGTCATAACTGAAACCACTRATGAAGGTGCTGAACAGCACCAGGCCCAGTATCATTCCCCGGGGCACTGCACTTGTGATAGGTGCCAGTGTGACAGGGAACAATTTACAACCACCCTGCAGGTGTGACCGGTCAGCCAATTCCCCACCCACTGCACGGATCACACGTCCAGACCATCACACAAACATTTCTGTTGGAAGAGGCCGTGGGAAACCACATCAAAAGCCTTGGAGATACCCAGGTAGACAATGAGCAGCACTTGCCCCATATCAGCCAAGCAGGTCCGTTTGTTGTAAGAGGCAATCAAGGTACTGAATTTACCCTTGGTCAATCTGTGCTGGCTTTTCCTAATCATGAACTTTAATTGACTTGTGACAGCCCCCAGGAGAATTTGTTCCATAAGTTTCTCAGGGACCAAAGTAAGACTGATGGGCCTGTAATTTTCTGGCTCTTCCCTCAAGTGCTTTTTGTAGACAGGAATGACAATAGCCTTCTTTCAGTCTTCTTGGATTTTCCCCAAACTCCACTACTCGATTATGGTGAGTGGCCTTGCAGCTCACCTTGGTTAGATACTGTCAGAGCCCATCAATCTCCAGGGGTCAAGCTCCTTTAATAGCTCACATACTGATAGTGAACTATTAAATTTTCTTTTTGATTCTTCCTTCACTGATGGTGGGTTTGGTGTGTTTGCTTCAGTCAGGATTTTTTGTTCTCAGGGCCTGGTGTGCGTGAAAGGACATAGGCGAAGAAAGTGTTGAGAACCTCTGCCTTTTCAGCCTTGGTGACTAGTTTATCTCCTGTTTAGCAGCAGGCAAATACTTTCCTTCTGTCTCTGCTTGTTTACATACCTGTCCTGGTTTCAGCTGGCATAGAATTTATTTTCATCCTAGTAGCTGACACAGTGCCATGTTTTAAATTGGTGTGAGAATAATGCTGATTTCACCTTAATGTTACAGTTATTGCTCAGTTGTGTTTGCCCTACATCAAAGACTTTTCTGAGTCCCAAGCTCTGACAGTGAGAAGGTCTATGAGAATCTGTGAGGGAGCATTACCAGGACAGCTCTGGTCAAAGGGATATTCAATACCACAGAAGATCCTGCTCAGTATATGAGCTGAGAGGGTTGAGGGGGGGGCCATCACTGCTCAGGGGTGGACTGAGATTTTGTCGGTGGTAAGCAATTGTATTGCGCAATTGCTTGTGTTTCTTGGATTTTATTCGTCTCTCCTTTTCCTATTGTCATTTTATTTTACTATATTTCAATCATTAAACTCATCTTGACCCATGGATTTATCTTGGTTTTGATACTCCTCTGGGGTGGGCTGTATGCATGGTACTTTGTTTTGGTCTGGGGCTAAAYGATCTCAGCACCTGAAATATCCTTTCTTGTAGTTTTTGGCATCTCTGACCAATTTCTATTTGACCTGAACTTTTGCCTTTCTAACTTCATCTCTGCACACCCTCACAATGCCCTTGTGCTTACTTGGACTCCTGAAGCTCAGAAGAAGGTTCACAGAGAAACTGGAGGAGGTGTTTTGTAAGTTTTCCATTCCTTTATCAAGATTGAAGAAATGGAGTTAGCAATGTGCCATGTGGCTGTTCTAGAGTTTTGAGTGGCTAGAGGTGGTTAGATGAAGTGGTTTATAGGCAGCCAATTATTTGCTGTTGTTTTGATTCTTCTCCCTTTCCATTTTCTCTTCAGGAGGATATCAAGTATTGAATGGCACAGATATTCTTGTCATGATTTATGCCCTACCAAGATTTTCCCTGAGCAATTTAGACCTGAGCGATTCTTCCCTGAACATTGTAAGGAAAAACACCTGTATGGTTTCCAAATATTTAATGTTGTTTATAGTTTGCATGCATCACTTTGTAACTGACATTTCTTGTCTCTCTAAGGGGTAATGTGAAGGACATTTCACCCCCATTTTCCCTTTCAGTCTTGCAGTTGTTTCACAGTAGGCTTATCAGCAGGTGGCATGGTGTCAGCAGCGGGGCTGTGGCTGTGGTGGCCTCTCTGAGAAAAGGCTAGAGAGGAGGACACAGACAGTGCCTGCTGGCTCCATAATGGATCCACTGCAGGACATAGCTGAGCCCAGCAGCCAAGCCAGTGGCATGTCTGTGAAAAAGTATTTATAAGTGTACCAAAAAATTCTAAACAGACAGAGGAGTGTGGGGAGAGAAAAGAGAGGGAAACAGCAGTGCAAACACCAAAGTCAGTGAAGAAGGAGGCAGTGCTCCATACTTCAGGGCAGAGATTCCTCAGCAGTCTGTGGGAAAACCATGCTGGAGCAGGATTATCCTCAAGAGTTGCAGCCTATGGAGGGGGCACATGCTGAAGCAGGAGAAAAGTGTGAGGAGGGAGCAGCCAAGAGGAACTTACGTCTTTGTTTCTAACTTTGTCATTATTTGTTCATAATTGTCTATAAATTAAATTTCTGACATTGAATCTGATATGCCCAAGATAGTAGCCAATAAGCAATCTCCCATTCTTTATTTTGACCTGTAAGCTTTTGTGTCCTGCTGAGGGAGGGGAGTGAATGGATGGATGCCTGTCTGTTGGCCAAGGCTATCCTGCCCCAGCTTCTAACACACTGTGCAGCTATGACTGTAATATGCAGGCACATCAAATGTAGACAAGAGCAAATAATGACACTGATGCTGCTAGAATGCAGGAGGCAGATTTGCAGTGCTGTGCTTCTGTCACCCACAAGTTTTTCCTGATCTTAAACTGCCCTGTTTATTTATTCTTCATGGCCTCTGGCTCACTTTGTGTAATGTATTTTATGCTGCTAAATGCTTCCTTTAAACTTGCTGCAGTTGAGCAAGGAGGAGGCTCTGTGGAATCTAGCCAAATCATGGAGCAGTGGGTGGAATCTTCTCTTGTGACCTTGGATGAGTTGAGATCATCCAACTTGGGAGTGTCCGTTTTCCTTGGCACACTGATGAATAAATACAGGTGTGGTGCTTCGGTAGCTACTTGGTATTAATGCCTATTAGTTGTGACAGCATCACAGAATTGCTTTACAGTAGTAAACTGTGGTGATCTCCATTATTCTAAGACATGTTGTTATCCTGGTAAAGAAGGTTTTTGTTTCTTAGAGAGGAGGCAGGCTTCTGTATTCTGTTGGGGATAAGTAGTTCATTTAAAATGTCTCAAAGTGAAGGATCCCAAATGATGGCTATAGAATAAAGCAGTTGCTGTACAGTGATCACCAGGTTGCAGAAACCAAGCCAGTTATGTTTGGTGGAGAACAATCAAAGCAATCAGTCTATTTCTGAAAAACATAGCTATGGTCTCTGTCTCAAAAACGCTATTAATCTCCTTTACCTATGTAAGAAAGGGTGCACAAAAGGATTTGAAGCTGGAGTCTTCCTCAGGATTTGGTCTTGAAGCCTAGATTTTGGGCTGTAGAAGCCTTGTTTGGACACGAAATTTAGCATCAGGCCCTAAAATGCCTCTCTGAGGACGAGTGAGAGCCTGTCCAGCACTGATGATATATTTTGAAATTGAGACACTCTGTGTTATATTTTCTTTGTGTTGGTGATGACTGCTGTGGACTACAATTCTTTGTGTTGGTGATGACTGCTGTGGACTGCCTGATCTTTTCAGAGTACTTTTCACAGTCTTTTTCCATCATCCAAGGTTTGTTATGATTCCAAGTCTCAGTGACATAATCAGGCCTCAAGGATGCCAGAACTCTCATTGCTTCTTTCTTGGGTATTTATCTTTTATGTCTCATTCCAATGTTTCTGCTGCCTTTTATTAGCATCATCACCATTGCCAACTGCTGGCAGGATGTTGCAATGTTTGTTTTGCTGTGTTCTCTACTGCTTTCCCTTTCACCTTCCTGCTCTTTCACAGCTTTTGGCACTTGTTCTTTTTTTTGTTTTTTTTTTGGTTTTTGTTTTTGTTTTTGTTTTTGTTTTTCCTTTTCCTGTAGAAGGAGTTATCAGCAGCTAGAGTACAGAATCACAAATATTCACTTCATTTAGTTATTGGTCTGAGGAAGGCAACAAGCTGCAAGATTTTTTGTAAATTTGAGAGTATAATTATTCCGCTGATTCCATGTTAAAAGACAAAAGGTGAGCCTCTTCATCCTGCGTGCTTGCTTCCTTCCTAGGATGTAAAAAAGAGGGGATTGATGATTGTGTAACTTGCTTATGTGTTTGCAAGACAGGGAATACGGTCTGCTCCTTTCTGTCACAAACCATTACAAACAACAGCAAGGGTAGCAAAGTTCATTTCCAGCTGTTTACTGTGTAGAAAGATACAGTAGTCAGCATTTATGATAAAGTGTTTGCTGGGAGATTGCAGGAACAAAGTGTCAAAATTTACCCCCCTCTGCTGCCAAGGGTCACAAAAACCTTACTTCTGATGTTCTGAGCTTTCTGTTTGTGTTTTTTTATCTTAGTTGTTTTGTTTATGCTGTTTGTTGATTTACTAAAAATGCTTATGTATTCAGTACAATAATTTTTGGTACAAAGCAAATAGAATAAATATTACTATGGATATAAATATCTTTTGTACTTTATTCAGGAGATGAAGATTTGTGAATTCACTGTGAACTATACAGCCTCTACCAAAATTCTTTTTGACCAAAAGGTTTCAAAGCACTTGCTTTCAGAAACAGATACACATTAGCTCAGCAGCAGTGAGATGAGATCCTGGATCCTCTTGAGGCAGTGGGTTTGTGCCTACCAAAGCACTTTGTAAGCTGGGGCACAGGTGCTGCCAGTTGTGTCACTGGCATCATTTTAGCCTGTTTCTGAGTATTTCAATTGAGATCAGTAAAGGCCATTTGAGCTGAGAAGCACCAGTGTGCTTTGCAGTGCCACTGTTGATCGGGGGTCTGTATTTTCAAATAGAGCTCTGGTTTTTTGAACCCCTTGAAGCCATCAACCTAACTGAAAAAAGTTATTCTTCATCTGGCCCTTCAGTCATGTTGGACAGCCCTGGAGCAGTTCTCTGTAGCAAAAGTTCCTTGAGTACCTGAAAACAGATTGAGAAAGATGATACTGAGAAATGATACTGAGATACTGAGAAAAGACATCTTTCCCAAATCAATAAAAAAGTGGTTTTTCTCCTGATGGTGCTTTGTCTTTTCCTTCTGAGGTATTGCATGGGCCTGCAAGCAAGATTCTCACTCTTCACTCAGCTCAGAAGAGCCAAGTGACAGCAGCAGAGTAGTACTGTTTCCTGTCTGGCCTGCCATCAGGAAATGCTAGCAGGCAGCCTCTCCATATGAGTGTTTTCTAATTCTCTTTATTTTCGTGGCAAGAAGCTCTGCCATTGGCGTGTGTGTCAGCTCCGCCTCCTGCACTTTTGGCCAACTCTTCCGCGCACTGGGCTTACTGCAGCTGCAGTGCCGGGTACAGGCAGCTCCAGCTTCACAGCAGGGATCGAGGCTCAGAGCAGGAGGCTGGGAGGCAACGATGGAAGTCGTGGAAGCAATCTCAGGGAGACCCCAGCTGCTGCCCTTGGGAGCTGGAGTCATCGCTCTGCTGTTGACAATTGTGACTGTGTGCTCCCTGCCCTCCCTGATGGAACACTGGAGGCGGTGGCGGATGATGAAGTCGATCCCGGGTATCAGCCCCTGCTATCCTGTGCTGGGAAATGCCCTGCTTCTAGAGCGGGAAGGACAAGGTAATGAAATAAGAAACTGTAGCCCAGCTGTCAGATCTCTGCACTGCATGAGGTTTGCTGCAGGGGCCGGTGGTGGTGAGGCGCTTGTGTGGTTGAGCTGTGGCTGGCTGGGGAAGGGCAGTGGGCTGGCAGGGGATGTGCTGTTGCCTGTAGGTCTCTCTGAGCATGTGGGCAACCTGCAGAGGGGAACTGTATGAGGAGTGGGCAGTGAAGAGGAAAGGAGAGGAACTGCATAAATGTGACATTATTATCGGTCTCAAAGATTAACTGGACATTAAATCTGACAGCAGCTGATGTTGGGTGCACACCATTAAGTGGTTGATAGGGTGGAGCGTGAACGCTGTGGAATGTGTTTTGGCGAGAGGGAGGCGTGCTGGGGACTGTTGTAGGAAGTGCTGTTGCACAAAGTTAAACACTGTGTCCTCGTGACTTTTTGCTGTGATCTAAACAAAACTTGAAACAATTACCTTCCCCCAAGGGAGCCATGTGCAAGGGACTGTAGCATGCCAAGTTGCTTTTACCTAGGCTCATCATCTGTGACTCAGATTTATGTATTAGATGCAAAAGAACTTTCTGAGTATTTACAGTACATTCCTCAAAAGCAAACCTTTTTGTTCTTGCACTGATTAATGGGACCTTCTTTCTGCCATGTGCTTGAGAAAGCGCTAATGTGTTAGATGTTCTCTTTCCATTTGGTACTCATTATTTAACAGGAACACGTTTCTTAAGGAATTTGTGGTATGAAAGCATTGCTGGGTCTGCTGTCAGTGACTCACAGTCTTCTATGTGTGTTTGTGATGCCTGTGTATGCCAGTTCTTAGTGCTCATGTTGCTGGCTGTGCTGTTGTGTGTGCTGCCAGAAGAGAGACTGACGGGTTATGGGAGTATGGGGAAGTCAAGGGTGGGTACAGCATTGGAACGTAAATTGCCCAATGCTGACCCATGCTGAGACAATGCCTCTCTTCACTAGGAACACTATCATTGAGATAATCTGGGTCCTCTGGATCCAGTCTCATATTTCAGAATAAATAGGACAGAATCTGTGGTTAATGTGAAGGCAAGCAGCTTTCCACAAAGTTCAGTTTGGGGAAGCAATAGGAGGATCAGTCAGGATGTTTATATGAGCCCAGCTGAGAGATGAATCTTTTTTGTTTCTTTCTTACCCTCTTTTWTAAAAACTCGTCTTAAAAACCCCAAACCAAACAGAACATTGCTTCTATCTCCAGAAAGCAATTTATGGAAACTGATGATCTGTGTAGTCTCTAATCTCATTTGTTAGCAGGAATCACATAGCTCCCATGCCCATCCATCTTTGTTCTTGTTTGTTTATGTAAAAATGAGCGGTTTGTGGTTCATAATCTTTTTTCATTAAAAGTATGATCAAAAAAAACTTTAAAAAAGGATAGGGTTTTATAGCAAAAAGAAAAGTAACTTTTCATATGATGGTAATTTTTTTTTATTGGTATTGCTACCAATTGCTGGAAAATGTACTATTTTAATTATGGCAATGTCTGGAAAAAGATGTAAAAAATAGCAGAATAATCTGATACTCTTAATTTTGTTTCATGAGGTGTCATTAGACTAGGGAAAGCTGTATTTGGGCATCTATTTAGAAACTTTTTTTTTTTTAAGTTGGGGTCCTTTGGATTTTCCACTCTGCAGAACCCTGTAAACTTGTCATTTGTTGTTTAAGCTTGTTTCTGAAAGGGCAAAGAAGTGTTTTATCCTTGAACATTCTGAGAGTAGCCCCCACCTTTAATTTTGCAGAATAAAACTGATTTTCCTCTGTGATGAGGTAGTATCAAGGACCTTTTCAAATCAAATCAAACATCATCTACTGCTCTTCCCTTGCCAACAAATCCAGCTATCACCCATGCTTTCTGTATAGCTAAACTAACAAGACATGGACTGGATAGTTGTATAATGATGTGGAGGGAGAATTCACTGAGTTGCTGAGCTCACTCGTATGAAGTCCAGCTGGCAGCTGGACAGTGGTCGTATCTCTTAGGTTAATCTGTGGCATAAATGATGCTGTGAGTCTTGCCCTAAAAGATTAGGACACTTGAATTGTAAAATCCACAGGTGCAAAATATACTGCTTGGTCATTGCTGTTTGACTTATTATTGCTTTGACCTAACACTGCTGGTCATAGCAGCAGGTTAAAACTACCATGAAATGAAAATTGCAGGACATATGGTATAAAAAATTCATTACAGAAGCCTTGCTTATTTAGTAAACACGCCTTGTTGAAGTTGTACTCTCATTTTCTATTCTAGGTTTTTTTAAACAGCTACAGTTTTATGCTGAGGAGTTCAGAAGTTGGCCATTGTTCAAACTTTGGATAGGACCATTGCCTGTTATGATTTTGTATCACCCTGACAGTGTGGAGGTGAGTGTGCTGGTCTCCTGTCTATTCTGCCTCATGCAGAGCAGTGTCCAACCTTTTAGTTTCTATTATCTCAATGCAATTTTTGTTAAAAAAGGGCTTGGACTGGTTTGCTTTGGGATGTTCTTCTGAGTTAGTGCTAAAGAAAGGTGTAAAACAAAGGAATATAAAAAGGCCTAGTCAGAGGGCCTGGGGGGAATACTGAAGATGACCAGAAAATAAAAGCACCAAAAAAGAACCTCTTTTAGCTTTGTTTTCACAAGTGTGAAATCTTCTGCTCCCAAGATCAGAACAAACAAGCAGATATCAGGGAAGATGGAAAAACTGAAATAAGGATAGAAATTCTGAAATTGTGAAATTCAGGTTGCAATGCTTGTGTCTCTTTGACAGACTTCTGCCTGCATTAGAATTTGATAGGTCTGTTTTGATGCCATGAAATGTAGTCATTAGTTTTGCTACCAACAGTGACTGTCCCTGAGCTAGGAAGACAGTGTTGTTTGTTGGAGTATTTATTGAAGAAATAGTGAATAACTCTCCATCTAACAAGTAATATTTTCCTCTCTGTTCATTTTTCTGACAGGTTATTCTGAACAGCTCAAAACATATAGAAAAATCATACCTGTATGATTTCCTGCATCCGTGGCTGGGCACTGGACTTCTGACAAGGTAGAGTGTATGGTGAAATGCAGGTCCTTTTGAAATTTGCAGGGTTTATGATAGGAAGAGGTCTTGGTGGCAGAAATGCTGTGTGTATCTCTGAACAAAGAGATTGTGTGCATTGCTTATCTCACTGCTCATGCTGCAAATCACTAGGATGGGCCTGAGGTTGGTGATGCTTTGGGGTAGGATGGGAGAGTATCTGTACTTTTTCATTTAATTTCATGAAGTGGAGGATCATGAGAAGTGAGCCTGGGTAGGAGCACAAGTCTGGAGTGGAGAGAGGGAGGAGCAGTGATGTAAGGGTTTGGTGTACTCCAGTCTTGGAAGGGTAGAGGAAGGTTTGGTCTAGATGATGCAGATATTCAAGAGTCAGAGCAAGGTGAGTATAGAGTGGCTTTGGTGCCTTTGAGCCTCTTCTGAGATTTTGCAAAAAAGGTCAAAGTCCTCCTGTTATTAGCAAAGCTTTGCTGCTTGTTTGGAGTCCGCCTCTGAGGACTCCATGCTTTATGATGGGACCATGGTGTTATAAAAGCCAGCTGTGGTCATGTGAAGTGGGAAGCACAAGTTCATGTGAGAGGATGAGGTCTGCATTTTATCCTGAGTTTTGTTTATGGCCTTTAGGAAGGCAGTGAGTAATCAGCAATGTGCAGGGTTGAGGTCCGTGGGCATCAGGCATGGTGTGTCCTCACTATTCTTCCTTACTGGCTGTTTMGTCTCCCTTAGAGTTACAGAGGTATTTTGACTTCCCTGTGCTTGCAAAAAAGTAATGGAGGAGAATGTTCCAGTCTCTGCTGATTAGGGGCAGCAGGGGCAGACAACAAGCAGATAACCTGGCCTGTGGAGTGCCCCAGCAGCAGGTTAACAGGAGCAGTGGTACGAAGGTTTCACCCTGTAAGCAGAAGCCAGCTGTGTGCCTGTGGGGCATGTGATTTTGAAAAAGTGGACAGGAAGCTGGTGTCACTCACTGTGGCTCCATGCTTGTCATTGGCGTGTGGGAAGCGTTGCCTGTCCCCGGGGAAGTAGGTTATAGCTAGGCCTTGAGGCAGTCATTTCATGATGTCCCTAGGCCACAGGGCTCCTGTCATGGTCAGCAGGTGAAGGAAGGGAAAGCACAGCTACCGATTCAGAGAGAATGGGGCGGGTCAAGGCCTTGATGCTGAACTTTAACTTTGGGCCTTTGAGCTGCTTGGTCCCTCCGAGCCTGTGCGCTGACCAGCAGGGATGTATTTCTGGAGGCTTGTTGGCATCTCTCTTTGTTGAAACTAGCTGAAGAAATGGTGGCTTCTGCTTCCAAGAGATCCGGAGCAGGAACTATTTCCTTTTGCTCCTCCTGTGTAGCACTGTGAGCAGCTTGAAGAGACATCCACAATGTGTCCTCCTCTTCCAAGCTGCAGTATTTACTGTGAACTTCCTGTTATGGTGAGGGTTTTATTTTTGACTTGGAGATTTTTAGCCTTCATTCTCCACATTAATTTTACAGCACTGGAGACAAGTGGCGGTCACGGAGGAAGATGATAACTCCCACATTCCACTTCGCAATCTTGAATGATTTTCTAGAGGTCATGAATGAACAAGGAAATATTTTGGTGAAGAAACTTGAGAAGCATGCTGACAAGGAACCATTTGATGTCTTTATGGACATCACTCTGTGTGCCCTTGATATCATCTGTGGTAGGTCCTGTTCAGTTACTGTGATTGGGACTGTGAATGATGCAGAAGATCATGAGTTCAGCTGTGCCAGTTTGTGTGAGATGATTGAAGAGGAATGTCCCTCCATATTTTCTAAATGCATTTCCATCCTTCCCATCATTTTTCCCAGGGTTTACTATGTGCATCTGGGTAGGTGAGTTTATGGGATTGGCAGCACAGAGGTAGCAGTCTGAAGTGAGGTTGTCTTGAGGAGCAGAATTCCTGGGCATGGAAATGCACAGAAAGCTCATCCTCTGCAAAGGGATATATATGTGTATTCACTTTTTGAAGGGATGGTGTGGTGATAGAAGCTGGGAGCAGTAGCAACTTACATTGTACACTGCATTTCACTTTGCACTTGTGAAAGGTTAATGTTTTCCTGCTTCTAGAAACAGCAATGGGCAAGAATGTGGATGCTCAGAAGAATAAGGATTCTGACTATGTTTCTGCTATCTACAGGTAATTGCATATTTTCCATAGTTACTGTGCAGTTGAGCTGGAGTTGATGTTGCTGGTGTTGGGAGAAAGGCAAGGGCATCAAAGAGGGAGGGGTGTAAAGCATTGGAGCAGACTAACCCTGAGTCCCTAAAAACCCTGGAGGTGCTTGAAAGACACACCTCTGGCATTTAGGGTCACATTGTAGCAATGGTCTGTGCTGGGTTAACACTAGATTAACAGCTGGACCCAATGATCTAAAAGATCTTTTCTAAATGAATCTATGATTCTGTGATCTTACTGCTAACTTTTGATGGAGCTTGTTGAGACAGGTATAATACAGAGAAGGAGTAGACCTTGAGGGTTGAATTATCATCTGTTCCTTGGCTTTTTCCAAATTGTACCACAAGTGTGCTTGAAGTTGGTAATAATTACTCCTCTGAAGGTAAAGCATGTACAAGAGCTGGATAGCAATGACAATCAGCCCTTCCAAATGCACTTCAGATGTGTTTGAGCATACTCGAAGTCTCATGTTGTTCATTTGAAATACTTTTATGTGCAGTCTGGTGTCTGGGCTTTCAAGTAGCAATGCAGTGCTCTCAGAAACTGTTTGAGTTCTCGGGCAGATATTCTGGAAGCCAGTCATGAGTGCTGTTTTCATCATGGTCAATGCTTTACTGGAGTGTGACTGGACTGGGTGACTTAGTAGGCCTGTTTCAAGAGGATTCCAACTAAATGAGAATATGCTGTCTTTCACAGAGATGGGTGCTTAAAGATATAAAGCATAGTGATGCTGGGACAAAGTAACAGAATTTTGAGATTGTATAAAATCAAGAAACAAATGTGAGAGGCCTTCCTTTCAAATAATGGATTTAGGCCTACACAATATGTTAAATTCTACTTCATTAGGGTACATACAAGTCTTTTTGTTTCTTGCATGTGTGATATAATTTGGGGTTTTTTTGTCAAATAATGTTACATGATATAATTATTTTGCCCCTAGGATGAGTGATCTAATCCAACAGCGACAGAAGAGCCCTTGGCTTTGGCCTGATCTTTTGTACATACTGTTCAAAGAAGGAAGAGAACACAAGAAGAACCTCAACATCCTTCACAATTTTACAGATACAGTATGGAGTCCTTTTTTAAAAAAAAAATAAAAAATTATAGTGATAATTTTCATTGTTGGAGCAAAGTTTTGCACTCAGAGCTTCCAAATGGGGGTAATTAGCATGTTCACACTGTGATGATTTTTTGCATTTGCTGCTGCCATTGTTGGCATTCATGATCGAGCAGCTTATTCCAGGTACTCTGGATATGCTTACACTTCTTGATGATCCCCAAGTTGTTTATGGAGTTTGGCTATCTATTTTTTTGATCACACGAAGGCTGTTCGAAATTTATTCTATTGCTTGGGGCAAGAGAAGTTGGTCATATTTCACTACTAATACAAAGAGTCAGTTAAATTTCATGACATATTGCTGGCAGCTAACTCATGTAGACTGCTACAGATGCATGTTGTTTTGATAAGCTGGGACAAGACTGTATGACGCAGACTGTGCACTTGTGCTGAATTCATCATATCTGATGTGATGGTTCTAATCTCAGGTCATTGCAGAAAAAGCTGAAGAACTTAAAAACAGCAAGCAAAAGCAACATGATAGTGATGTCAATGTAAATGGTAAAGAAAATGGTTCCAAAACCAGGAAAGCATTCCTGGACATGCTGCTGAATGCAACAGATGATGAAGGGAATAAACTGAGCTACCGGGACATTCGTGAGGAAGTGGATACCTTCATGTTTGAGGTAACCAAGGAACTCATTGGTTTGTTGTTGTTTGTTTTGGTTTTTTTTTTTTTTTGTGGTTTTTTGTTTTGGTTTTTGTTTTCTGTTTTGTGGGTTTTTTTTTCCTTTTTTCCTTGTTGTTTGTTTTAGATGTGTTTTTGATGTGGTTTTTTTTTCCCAAACCTCAGATACAAAATTTGCAGGTAGTGACTTTTACCTTAGTTAAGGAGGTTGCTTTTAGCATGATTTTTTGTAGCCGTGGAAGCGTAAGAAGAAATGTCAATATTTCTATCCTTCAGAGGTAGGATAGAAACACTGATGTGCCATGGGAAAATGTTGGACAATGCATGTGTGGTAGACCCTATCTATATGAGCAGGCTCTACTTATGAAAGCAGGTGAGAAATAAATCTTAATAGCTGATATGGACCATGGGCTTTTGACATGTGCTGCAAACCTCATTACCACTGAAGAGAGCTCTAAATACTTTCAGTATTTTGACTTGCATTTTGTCATGTCTCCTCACATTTGTCCCTTGGCTGCAGTCTCCTGGTGCTGTTGTCCCCTGTGCATTAGTGCCTTGTCTTCCTGTGGAATCTAGTCACAGAATAGCTTAGGTTGGAAGGGGCCTTAAAGATCATGTAGTTCCAACCCTCCTGCCATGGGCAGGGATATCATCCACTAGATTAAGTTTCCCGGGGCCCCATCCCACCTGGCCCTGGCCACCTTGAGAGACAAGATATTCAGAACTTCTTGGGGCAATCTGTTCCTCACTACTCTCTGAGTAAAGAATTTCTTCCTAACGTCTAATCTAAATGTCTTCTCTTTTGGTTGAAAATCATTCCCTCTTGTCCTATCACTGTATGCCGTAAAATGTCACACTCTTTTTTTATAAGCCCCCTCTAAGTACTGAAAGGTGACAATCAGGTCTTTCCAGAGCCTTCTCTTCTCCAGGCTGAACAACTCCAACTCTCTCAGCCTGTCTTTATAGGAGAGGTCCTCCACTCTTCTGATCATCTTTGAGACCCTTCTTCTTGTCTAATTCCCTGTCTAATGAAGGATCTGAAGAAGATTTTAATGAGTTTTCCACACACTTCCATTAGCTGAACCTGAATTCTATCTCAGAAGAGCTTAATTCATAGAATCGTATTAATAATGTTGTAACCTTGAGCAACTTTCTTCCCATTTTGCCATTTCTGTACTACAGCAGCATCTTGAACTTCACCACAAGTGTACTTTTTTAGTATCAAATTTTTTTTTTTTGCCAGCTTTTCCCTATTCTGTTCCCCACCTTTTTATGTTTTTTTTTGTTTTTCTTCTTTCATTCACCTTTCATCTGCCCTTCCTTTCCTTTCCCTCCCACAGTGCTGGGAGCTAGTAGCAGATTCCCTTCTCATAGAAAACCAAGTATTTTCTCCTATGGCTACTGTACTGTGTCTCATTAGACCATTTTAAGATAGTTTTGTAAAGGTTACAAGTTGTGTCCATTGTATCTCCTGTGATGCCCCTCCAGATGTTGGCTGGACAGTAACCAAAAAGATGAATATACATCTGATTAATTGTGTAGATACTGACAGTTCATGCAGCTCTGAAAAACAGAAGAGAGGGGTTTTGCTTGTGTTATTTCAAAATTTTTCCCTTTCGGTCAGCTTTCAGCACCTGACACAATTGTGGATCACATTTTATCTTGATTGTGTGTTGAATAGAGTTATTCACTATTGATTCTTGTTTTTCTCATGATCATGGGACTAATAAGTCTCACTTTTCATACTACCTGCACACCTAAGTATTTGCAAAGCCCCCTGGTGCATGGGAATAGAGTTGAAGTGAATGTCTTTGTCAATCTGCACCTGTAGGGCCATGATACAACAGCAGCTGCTATGAACTGGGTCCTGTACTTGCTTGGACATAATCCTGAAGTTCAGAAAAAGGTTCACAAAGAATTGGATGAGGTGTTTGGTAAGTTTCCACTCGCCTTTTCATTGGGATTTTGCTGCATTTGTGAGTGGAAATATGTTTAAAGCCTAGAAGTAGAGGGAGAGTTAGGAGCATGCTTTGTGGCCCTTTTGCAGCTTTCAGCAGCTTCAGGTGTTTGGGATGAGTGCAGGAAGGGCTGTAGGAGCATGCAAGCAACCTTATGTCTTTGGGGCAAGATGTACGTGTTCAATGTATTTGTAACACCTTCTTGTATGTAGTCTTTGTGCATGATGAGAATTTCTGGGGGGGGAGGGATCCAGGATGAGTTTTTTCAGCCAAAGATGGGGAATTTTGGTTTTGCTCATCCCTCTATTTGTTTTTGGACAGACAACACTGAGCGTTCTGTTACAATGGATGATTTGAAGAACCTTCGATACCTTGAATGTGTTGTGAAAGAAGCTCTTCGTCTCTACCCTTCAGTTCCCATGTTTGCCCGTACCTTGAGAGAGGATTGTTGTATTAGTAAGTAATGCTGTGTTGGCCACTTCCCCTCTTGTCAGCATTTCTGCTGTGGAGTTGTTTCCCAAGTAAAGGGCAACGTTGTTTTATTTTTTACTATTCTGTTGTGTATAGGAAGTCACTTGTTTGCTGTTGTTTTGACCCTTTTTCTCCCTTTCTCTCTTCTCTTTAGAGGGATATCAGATACCAAAAGGTGCAAATGTTCTTGTTTTAACTTACGCCCTGCATAGAGACCCTGAGATGTTCCCTGACCCAGAGGAGTTCAGGCCTGAGCGATTCTTCCCTGAAAATTCTAAGGGAAGGCACCCATATGCTTATGTGCCCTTCTCAGCTGGTCCCAGGAACTGCATTGGTAGGTATCTGAAGAGGAAGCCCTTGAAACAGTTCTGCTTTTGGATGTGGTAACTGAGACAGCAATGAGTACTGTTTGTATAGTGTTCTTCCTCACCCCCCATCCCTGAATTCTGGGCACTGTGTGCTCTGCCAGCCTAGTATTTGAGTTGCCACCCTTGTTTCTTCCAAACGGTTTCCTTTCTTCGTAGAGAACAGTGTCTGTCGTGCTGATGTTTCCTCCTCACTGCCTGTGCAGCTTGCCAGCATGCTATTGAGCTCCTGTGTTAGGATATGATTGCTTCCAAATTTCTGATCCTCAGTGTCAGCAACACAGAATGAGAGAATATACATGTCCTGCATCTGTTTTGCTCTGGAAACACCTCATCTGTCTCTCTTATGACCTGAACTTGATTTCTCAAGCATGCAATCTGCAACTGATGTATTCTTTCCTTCTTTCTGTGACTGTAGTTGGTTTAGTGTTTTCACTGTCATCCCAGAGCTCACTAGCACTTCAGATGTCACTGAGACACTTGACATTTATCTGTGCTTCAAGTAGAGGCATTGTTGTTTATATTGTAGAACATGTGAAAAGACTGTTCCCTGCGCTGATTTTAAGTGCAGATGGAGAACATCCAAAAGTTGTCATGCCATTTACGAGAATGGGAAATATGACTTCTTTTGAGTTTTTTGGGTTTGTTTGTTTGGTTTGGTTTCTGGTTTTGGGGGATTGGATTGTTTTGTTTTGATTTGTCTCATTTGTAGTAGGTACCCTTTTACCTAAGAGCAGTAAACTAGGCATTTCCATGTTCCAAAGAGAAATCCAATTTGATATAACATGTCTAGCTAGTTCCTGAGTGTGCAGGAACATGTACAGGAGACATGATTCATTGTTTTCATTGCAGAAATGCACTGTGTGTGCATGTGTGCAGACTTCCATCTCCGTATATGGTACAGAGGGGAGAGCATAAAAAATTCTGAGCACTGTGTTTTGTGTCACGTCTCCATTCTTTAGTTTTTGTCAGCTGCCTGGATTGTGGCACTTGTTTTGGTTTCCCTGACATTTCTCTTTTCTCATGGTTTCTTCTTCACCTTTCTCTGAAGTGTAAATCCAATTTTGTCCCCTGTGCTACTGAATCATCAGTGTATGTGAGAATGACAATTGAAGAAAGGTCTGTCTCTCGTTCTGTTGCAGTTACATCTCCTTTGCCACTCTCCTCATATATGGAACCATGAGATTTTTCTCTCCCCAGAGTCCCTGTGCTACATCTGCTCTGGTGTGCCATCCATGTGCCCTGCCTGGTCCATACAAGAGACGTGACAAGGCTGTGTTTCATAGTAGCTCCACATAAAGTGTTGACTGTTTCCACATTGCTGTTTGAGTTCTGTATATTATGGCAGGGAGGACCTACTGTGGATTGTCCCAGCAAGGCCAGAGTTTTCATGCAGAGCAAAGTTCCAGTGTTAGTGTATCCATATGAGCTCACCTTTGGTCTAAAGCCAGTTCTGTTCATGAGGCAGATGCAGAATCCTCGTCCTCTATGTTCCTGTGCACATGTAAGGGCAGCAATTGTTGATACAACCTGAAAATAACTTTTTAATTTTTTCTGCCCTGTAACTCATAGGTCAGCGCTTTGCACAAATGGAGGAGAAAACTATTCTAGCCCTCATCCTGCGGCGCTTTTGGGTCGAGTCATGTCAAAAGCCAGAAGAGCTCGGTTTATCTGGAGAATTGATCCTTCGTCCAAATAATGGCATGTGGATTAAACTGAAGAGGAGATCAAATGCTGGCTCAGACTGAAAGGAATTTCAAGAGTTTGCTTCCAAAAGTTTTCAATCTATTTAGGCTGAGACATATTTTAAAATCAAATATTTTGATGTCAGTCCAGTGATTTGTTAAAACTAGTTGTTACTGTTTGTTAAAGAAGATGTAGTAATAGCCCTAATTGCTCTACTTTTATAGTACTTGTGAACTTCATGTCAATCTTTGAAATGCGAAGCCTTTAAATCTCAAGTTTTAGTGCCTTATCTGCTCAGATGAAACTATTCTATTGCCACAGTGCCGCAAAATCTTAAACTATGGTAATAACAACAGCAATGCCTGTGATCAAGTGATCAGTTTACATACCATAGCATTTTCCAGGTAGCTGGAAGTCTCAAGTATCTGTAGTTTTCAGGTTTCTTTGGTTCTGAAAGATACAAGTGATAATTTTTCCTCTTGACACAGTATTTTCTCTTTTTTGGTGATAACTGCATTTGTAAAGACCAAGAAAAGTCTCTGATAATCTCACTGCTCCTCTGTAGACATTTGAAGTCATTTTTAAGTAGTGAGTACTCTGAATTATTTTTTAGCAAATTGTACCAAAAGCATTAATCTTTATAACCATAGCAGGAACTAGACGGTGTGCAAGTTATACACAGGATTCCATAATTACAGAAGCACTGTATGATTACAATTTTGAGAATAAACTTCTACTATGCTTTCAATATGGACTGAAATTGTATCTATTGAAATTGAAGGTCTGTGTGCAGGTAAATTACTGATGCATAATTATTTCTTAGCATCAGTTCCTCTAGGGTGATCAAACAACTAGATTTTACTATGCTACTCAAAGCTGAAACAATAAGCCAGTGTGTTCTTGCCATCTAGGATCCTGAAGGCAGCATACAGAGTTTTTCTCTATGTTGAAGAGGAATTTGGAGCCTCTTGAAATCACAAACCTTGACAAGTGGTCTATTATTGCTACCTTTGTTTTGCCATTAAGAAAAAAAGTTTAACAATAGTAGTACTTGCATTTTTCAGTCTTCTTTTTTTCAAATATAGGTTTCATTGCTGTATAATAACAAGGATTGCAGTTTCCAGGGCTGAATGTAAATATTATCTTCTTTATAATGAGATAACGTTTGAGAGCACCTTGATATGTTAATGCGCATAATAAAAATGACTCATGTTTTTCCAAGAAACTCTAAGTTAAGGAATCATTTCATGCTTTTGGGCACTTGGCAGTGTGAACTTTCAAGCTAAACAAGATTTGCATCCAGAATATGTTTTCTCAAGACATTTGGTATGTAGTTGAAACCTGGGGAGGTACCTCATATCTTAAGCTATGTCCTTAAGTTGAGGACTTTCAAGACAAAAACGAATATTACATCCTTTTCTTCTGTGGCATCTACTTTGTGGAAACAGAAGTCATAAGAATTATCTTACAAACTATCTCCACTGACCAATATTTTTTCTTGTGTTTTGCTTTTGTACCATGCTCTTCTCATATGTGTGTACATCTACTATAATTTCCTTATACTCTCCAAAATGAATAAGAAAATAATTGAGACAAAAACTGGATAAAACTGTAATAAGAAACACATTATGAAAAGTGCATGGACTCAAATGCTGGCACGGGGTTGCCAGTGTGAAAAATCCCTGTTCAGTGATTGCACAAAGTATCTTTGCCAAGATGAGCACTGGTGTAATTCTGTAATCTTTGTGTTCTGAACTGTTCTGAAATGGCAGTGATCTCTTATCTTCTGTTGTGAAAATTGGTTCTGAAGCAATCTGAGGCTTCTAAGGAAATAAATATTGAGGAGAAACAGTACTGCACATAAAGGGAACTTCATGCCTGCAGGGTAGATGTTAAATATCTTGTGTTGAGTGTGCTTTAATTAGCCAAAAAGCATGTGGTATGTAGTTGTTGGTAGTGGTCATCAACAGCCCTTTGGGTGTGGTGGTTTGTTTGTTACTTTTCAGTGGGTTTTTGGTTGATTTTTGGGGTTTGGGGGTGGGGGAAGGTTCCTGTAGGACTTAAGAATGCATCACAGCCTTGTCAGATTTCCTGATGAAGTAATGGGACAATAAAATATCGTGTAATAACTGCATGTGCACAGTAGCTGTGATTTTTTTCCTCAGTTCTAGGTATCTGCTGATGGTATGAACATCACAGCTGAACTCTAAACTAAAATATTACACCTTTTATAAAGATCCTTTTTGTATAGTGTCAGAGAGGACACAATTTCGTACTGGGATAACAGAAATGGAGCATGTGAGTGTTTCTGGATCATGGTTTAAAGCTGTTACGAGGAACAATGACATCAAACCTTTTGTGACCTCCCTGTGCTGGAAGGTTCTGCTTGAGAGCATCTGTTGCTGGTGTCTTAGAGGCAGTAGAAGCTTCCAGCCACCTTGACACAAACTGCTTTTTGGCCTCTGAAAGCTGCATGTTTAAGACACATGCAGGAGGTAGAATAGTGGTGCTGACTAGATATCCACCTGCCTTCCTGAATTTAATCCTCATGCTGTAAAAGAAAAAACCTCACATATAAATCTTTGTACGCTGCTAGAAACAGATCATTTTGCCGTGTTTGATCTCACATGTCATCTCTTCTTCCAGCAGCTAAAAGATTCAAAGAGCCTTTGGCAAATCCTACCCCAATTTTCTTCCTAAAAGGGCATTGGTGCCACTCCCTGGCAAACCTCCCATTATAGCACTACCTCACTTTATAGTCAGGTCATATTTAGCTGATCTTCATGGTCTTCATGGATTCAAAGATGAAATTAACTCACTTTCTAAACCAAACAAACACATGAGATTCTTCTCAGATGGAATGGGAGTACTCTACTAAGTATAAATCCCTCTTTTGTTCAACAAATGGACTTTTAGGTTTGATGCCTGAAGTATAACTTGTGGAGATACAAAGTGTTCATTGAAATTGCAAAATATTTTGAGCAAAGAAAGACAAAAGTTATAAGTTAGCAAAAGACTCAGCATTTGGCATATGGCCAAATGACCTGACTCCAGGTGAGTAGTTGAGGGACACATACAACTTGCTCAAGAGTTACTGTTTGACAATTCACAGGCCTTGGTCAAGACACTGGGACTCTTCAGTGTACATCAAAACATTCTCTCTTCTCTAATATCTAACGAGAATCAGCATCGGGTGCTTTAGCTGCAACAAGTAAGACCTTGGGCAGTTATGTGATTCTCCATTTATTAAAACAATGGCAAATCTGATTATAAGAAAAAAAATCAAAGGCCTCTTAAATAACAAACCCAGTAGCTATTTGTTGTTTAATATTGCAACTGTCTTTGATTTTTTTATTATGATCCTGAATTTGGTCTGCGTTGATTTCTTATTTGATATCTGATTTGCAGTTTTTTTCTAAGCTCTGTTTCCAGGAAGACTTCTGTTGACATGTAATTTCAGGATATGAACCAACTAAACTGCTTTTATTTTGATAAAACTCACTTTCCACAAATCAGTAAGTCACCCTATCCATCTTTTTGCAGCTGTTTTAGGTATTATCCTAGCCATCCTTTTTTTTTGCAGCTGTTTGGTATCAACTCAAACAAGATTCTAGTCTAGTGAGACAGTGGATTCTTCACTCAGATAATGGCATCCTGACTCAGATGAAAAAGCTTCAGATTGTTGACTGTAAGAAGAAAAGATAAAGATTTAGTTTTTAGAACTTGTTTTAGCAGCATTTGATGTTTCTCTCTGTCCTTTGTCATATGCATAATGATAATCATGATAATCAATGATTAGTCAAAATGAAACAAAATCAAACAGAAGCAAGCTCTCCACTGTATTTTAGGTATTTTTGAACTTGCATCATCAAAAATGTTTCGATTTATAAAAATATTTTTGTGAGCTCTTCTTTTATTTCTGCTCCCTGAATTGCTGAACCCTAAATGCAGCATCCTTTTTTGCTAATATTTAAAATATTATTGATGGATAAATTAATACAATGAGGGAACTAAGGCCAACAGTAACCTTATATGTGGAGCCCTCATGAGTCTTAGGAGTATTAGATGGTTTTGGCATTTTACGCACTTTAAATTTCTAACTCTTCTTCTAGTCTGAACCATGCAATCTGGATTTAGGAGAGGCTCAGTAAATTTATGCCAGCTGAGAATTTGTTTCAGCATATTTTGTAAATTGTCCTGTAATAAACAATAACTCACTCAACAACATAGAGTCCAGAATACTTTTTTCTCTGTACAGAAGTACAGCTTTGTTGGTTTGAGCAATAGTGCAGCAGTGTAAAAGGGGGCATGTCATGTGAGTAGCAGGCCCAGTGATAGGAAATGCATTTATTTTCCAGTGACCAGGGTCATTATGATTCTCTTTGAATAGCATTGCTGCTTTATTCCTGAGCTTCATCATCAGTTCCAACTGATGCCCTTACAGATGTAGTTAAAATGATGTTTGTTTTTAGAAAGTGTGATATCTAAATTTGAGAACTGCAACTTTTTTTTTTCCCTAGTTTCCTTCTGAAACAAACAACCATCACCAGCATATTCCCCTTCCTGAGACAAATTTCTAAAATAGAGATAATGGATTATAGGAATGAAACCTTACAGAAGCTTCTGATGAATGTAGATGTGACTACATCTTACATGATCTTGGTAAGGTTTATGATCAATCTTCTCTGGTTTTCTTCCTATTTGAATGATATATCTTACTTTTTCAAAAGTGTATGGTGAGAGATTTTGGGGATTTTTTATGTTTGTTTGCTTGTGTTTCAATAAGAGAGTACGTGGAATATCTGCCCAATATCTGAAATAGAAAGCCCAAATGAGAAATGGAAAGTGAAGAAACTAAGCTCTCAGAGAAAAGTTCTGATCCCTTTGTGCCACCAATTGAAATACACTCTCTCACAAAGACAAAATAGCTATTTTAATTGAATGCTTGTACATGTTGAGGAACACAAAAAATGCTGAGTTCAGCTTACTTAGTTTGTAAATATTCATGTATTAGTAGGTTTTGTGATTGCTTTCAGGTATGATGAAAATTCTGTAATTTAATGTAAAGGAGAAAAATTTTGCAGGGCTTTAAAATGTTATCATTTTACAGGGAAGAAAAGAGAGACTATATTGCATACTTGTGGTCATACAGGATCAATTCCAGCACAGCATGGATAATGGGTGTTCTGAGAGTGTGTCCCAAGGTCAGTAACAATATTGACAAAAAGAGTAGCTCTTCAAAGTAAATATTAAAGACGAGTTAGCATTGCAGGCAGTAATATTTAACAAAAAGTGTTGACTTTTTTTTTGCCTTTTTTTTTTTTTTTTTTTTTTTTAAGCACAAACCTTATCCATGCATCCAGACCTGCTATGTGTTCAGGTATGTAATCGTTATTGCAATTGGTATTCAGTGAAAGGTTATCATAGCAACAAGACAGTCTAGGTTGGAGTGTTTATGATTTGTGTTGTGTGGTTAATTTCTTTATTTCACTGCTTAAGTTGTTGTGTTGCAAATGGAAGAAAGGTTTTGAATTCACATAGCATATGAAGCAGTGAGTGTGAGTCATTTGTTTGCAGCTTTGATAACAGAATCTACTAAACCATAAGGAGAGTCAGAATTAGTAATGTCATTTCAATGGAATGTTGCTTCCAGTCTAAGCAAGAATGGATATTCTGCTGTTAAAAGACATGCCAAAACAGCAAATCACAGCTGTAATTGTAATTTTTAATGTAATTTTGAATTAATGGTTAAACAGAGCAAGTGTAAATCAGTGTTAGGCTTTGAAGTGCTTCATAAAACTAATTCTACACCTTTGATGAAACATATCCTAAAGAATGACTTTGTGATTTTTAGGATGGTTTGGATTTATCGGCCTTTTTGTTTCATTTTCTTACTTGCTTCCGTTTACAGTGGTAAGTGAATATATAATTCCTGAGATTTACACACAGCATAAAGCAACTCTTGCAGAAGGGGAGAACATTAGTAACTGCAGGCTGCTCCTGAGAGAGAGCTCTTTATTCTGCTGGATTGAGTCGAGTTTGGGTGACTGGCATAACCCTATTGTATGACATTGAACTTTCTAATGAGTCTTTACTGACACTGTCCTGCCACCCCCCATGCTGTCACCTCCACCAGCGCACAAGGGACCATGGCAAGGACAGTTTTCTCTATAGGACTGAGTCTGCATTTGTATTGTATCTGTGAAATTGGTGCAATGCTCTGTGTTCTGTGCCTAAGGTAAGGTTCACAGCCTAAGCAGCACCTTTGGGTGCAGGAGGTAATGTGTTAATGATTTACTTTGATCCATTTGCAAAAGTTAAACTACTAAAATGTACTGCGCTCCTCTGAAATTCCCCTCRCTGATAAATGATAACTAGGGCCCAACACGAGTGTAAGTTCAGTAATATATTAACTGTTTTCTTTGAGAACAATTAGGTAACAGGTTTTTTTTGGCAAAATCTAATATATAAATGTAGTATTATTTAAGAAAATATTTTACCTGGCCTTAAATCCCAGAAAAACCAAAACCTTTGAAAATTTCAGGGGCCTAGAAAACATTTTCATTAAATTAAAGGATTTAGAACCCATGTAGTTTTACATGGTGTATACTTTTACAGCATAAATAATTTTTGGGTGCTCATTTATGCTAGAAGAAGGTAAATAAGAGCCAAAATATATGATACAGCAAATAATTGCAATATTCTTTTCTTTTAGCTTTGGACGTCACTTAAAGTACTCTGAGAATAGAAAATGCTTTTCTGTTAATGACAAAGTTGGACAAAGAAACTCTACAAAGAATAATAAATGCCATTTTTTAAAGAATATCTTGAAAGTACATATATATCAGAGAACTTGGATGTTTATAATGTTTAATGTTTTACTAATAAGGAATTAACCATTGAAAGATATTAGCATATAGCACATGTATCTAATAATTCCTTACTTTTTTCTCTTTTTTAAAAAAATTATATATTTCACCTGTGTGCAGGAAACACTGAACTGTCAAAGTATAGTTCATAATCATATTAACAAATAAATCCAATTTTAATATTTTAAAACTATAAAATCTAATATGATAGTTTCATTTGTTTTCATTTTCAATAGCATTTGAAACAGTATGATTTCTCTATAGTAACAGATTAAGCCACTAGATAAAATGGCTGGGTTTTCAGCTGAGTTTCCTCCCAGTCTAATGTAAAAAACACATTATTTTCACTTTCTCTTTTATCCAAGAAAAAGCACTTACGTAGGTACAGGAATAAAAATCAGCATTTTGCTGGCTTGCTACTCTTTCTGGAGAGCAAATTAAAGAAGAGTCTTCTGTGCAAAGACAGCTCTCTTGTGTGTTTTAAAACTGATCTTAGAGTCCTTTGACAAGCTATCCTGTTCTCCACTGCAATGAATATTCGAGACCCCCGAGAGCCTTGAGACTGACAGAACAGGGGGCAAGGTCTGAAGTTGCATCAGGGGTGGTTTAGGTTGGATATTAGAGGTTGGGCACTGGAACAGGCTCCCCAGGGAAGTGGTCACAGCACCAAGCCTGGCAGAGTTCAAGAAGTGTTTGGGCAATGTTCTTGGGCACATGGTGTGACTCTTGGGAATGGTCCTGTGCAGGGCCAGGAGTTGGACTCAATGATTCTTGTGGATCCCTTCCAACTCAGCTTATTCTGTGATTCTGTGATCCTACAAGTGCCTTCATTTTGCAAGATGGGAGCAGGTTGCTGCTTCGGTACCTTTGCTGCACAACTCTGCAGTATGAGTGGTTGTCATTACACAGTTCAGCATGTCATTCAGAATTCCTGCAGATGCAAGGTAGTAGTAGAGCTCATTTTTTCCCCAGACAGTTCCTGAGAGGTTATTGCTGTAACTAATTTCCTTCATTGTAAAGGAAGTTTGGGGGCTTCAGGGTGGCGAGTGAGGGAGCTGAACGCCTGTGCAATACTGGGAGCCATTGAGGCTGTGAACAGCAGCACCACCTGTGATTCTGACCTCAGAGCATCCCTAAACAAAATAGGACTGTCTTTACATAAAACTTTCTGACTCTTTTTGGTCTTTTCACTTCCTCTTCCTGGTTTTCCTCGTAATGATGTCCTGTATTGGTTTCTCTCAGTAGAAGGTTCTGCTGTTGAGATTTTCCATGAAAAGGCACTTTCTGCCATACAGATCTTCTTTATGCCCAATCCTGCTTCTTGGGTTTCTTCCTTCGCTCCAGCTGCCCTGCTCCAGTGCCGGGTATGAGGCAGGGAACTGAGGGACACACCCTAGAGAGCATTGTTTCTGCTGGAGGGCAAAGATGAGACTCTCAGAGGAACAGTGCTACTTTCCCCCCCTTATTCACTTTTCCTGACAAAAGACTGTTTTAAATACAAGGTTAATGATATAGAGGAGCAATGGCTTTACCCTCTCTTGGTCAATTGGGTGCTTGAGTCTCTAATAATTGACACATTTTGTTATTCCGTGTCAGAATGTGTGACTCAGATCTATGAGAATACATTCTTCCAAGGAGGAGATCTCGCCACGTTTTTTACCCCGACTGTCAATTACTGCCAAGTAGTGTGTACTTACCATCCCACGTGTCTGCTCTTCAGCTACTTGCCAGCGACATGGACTAAGGATCCTGCAAAAAGGTAGAATGTTCATGTTCATGTGTCTGGCGCTGGTCTCCTGTGGTAATTTAGAAACCTGGTAGCATTTTGACAGAACACAGGCACACAGGGAAAGGTACAGGGTTGCCATGGAAAACAATGTCATGTATCTCTAAAACTGGAGATCTAAGGGTAATTGCTTGAATTCAAAAGGTTAAAATTGACAGTGCCCAATTTTTCACACTCATCCACTCTTTTCAAGGAAAGAGAACTGACTGTCCACTCCCTCCTCTATGCCATGTATTTATTGTTGAGGGACAATGTGAGTAATTTCACTTCTCTACTGATCCCCTCAACTGTTTCCCATAATTTCTATTTAGAATATTTTTATCACAATTAAGAATTTCAGTGGCCTGAGAGAACAAAGTTCTCTTTCCTCTGTGTGTTTCTGTTCTCCAAACCCTGCAGGGCTCTGTTTCTCCTTTTCTTGACATCTCTTGGAGCTCCTACAAACACATAATATTCTCATCTGCCACCAGTGCCAACAGTGTGTAATGCTCTACCCTATTTTTCTTCCAACTGCACTTATTAAAGTTTTCATGTTGAGGGATAATGGACAGCCTTCATTTCATCCGAGAAACAATTATGGAAGTCTGGGTTGTACTGCAAAGCTGTGACTTGCTGCATTTTAAAAAACAGGTTCTCCTGCTATTTAAAAGACAGCGATACAGAAATGCTGCCGAAAGTGGATATGGAAGGAGCTATCTCTGGACATTCGTTAAAGCAGTGTAACATCCAAATTACTGGTAAGAAATGGTTATTCACATGCATGTATGTTATGCTCTGTATTGGGTAGCAGCTGTTAAAAAATTAGCATTCTGAAAAGATGAATGGAATCATGGAAGCAGCCAAGCAGGGACTTGTGTGCTCTTTAACAGACCACTTTCAAACACAGGTGACAAAACCTCCCCTGTTTTTATCCTTCAAGCCCAGCTATCCACCACCCAGGCTCCCCAGTGAGGTAACAGGGAAACCATGCTCCTGCAGTTGCTGTTTCTTTTGCTAAAGGCAGATGGGCGTCTGTGTTTTAACTGCTGATTCCAGCTTTTAAGATTAATTTACTACTACAATTCCTCTCCAGAAAGATGCTCATTTGACATGTGTGATGCTACTTAATTACTCTGAGAGGCAGATGCTCAGCAAAGCAGAACTGAGTAGTCACAAAATGATGACACAGTACCTTTGTGATTCTGTGTGATAATTTTTTAGCAGCTGCATCTTTTAGGGTATGTGTGCTATGCACGAAGCCTAAATGTCAGCATGCCATACCTGCAAGTTATCACCAGGCACATTGAAAGCCTATTAATTACATTATTAAATGTATTTTATTTGTATTTATACTTGCACTGTCATAATGGTGTCATTAAAAGGAAATCAACTTTAAGCATAGCATGGTACTTTAGAAATCTAACAGAATATTTTAGAATAATAGAATTTATTCAATTCCTGCCTTTGAGGACAAATAGTGATTTATGGATGTCAGGCTAGTTCTTTAGTTGTATTGGCATAGCACCTCAGTATGGCAGGACCAAATGGGTTTTTATGCAAGTTCTCTATTGTAGCTATTACCAAGTAAATTTGGCTTGCTTTTGCTTGCCACTTGCCTTTCAGAGCAGTCAGGTCCTTTAAAAGCTCTTCCCTGCCAATAACCCATCATGTTTATATTTCTGGGTATCTTGGCCTAGATAACGAGATTTCAGTGGAATATTATTCTATTTAGACTAATTAATACTGGAATGACTCTAGAATCAGGCTGAAATGAAAAGCTACCCATATATGTCTAAAAATGTCTCTAATCGTTGTCTGACTCTTGTTCTGTGGAGACCCCTAATGACCTGCATTTCAAACCCCACAGTGGCAATCCTCCCTCTGGGGAGTGTAAATTAAATATTCTGACTCAAATGGGAGATGTTTATTGCTTATGAGGACAGAATTTGCCATTTAAACTGCTGTGTGAATTTGGAATTGGTAAAATACATTTTAATATTGATCCTGAGTTCTTGCTTTGGCGAATGTCATCCTGGTCTTGGTGCTTAGAGCCCTTCTCTCACATAGGCAGAGGCACTGTCAGTCTGCGAGTTTTTCCCCTTGCATGAGGTACTACAGTAAACCTACATTTCTGATTTGGGGCTAGATCTATGTATAAAGAATGATGTAATTGAAATGAGCGTGGGAGGTGGCATCTGGGTTATGAGGGCTGTGTCATACAAACTGCTATCTTTTGGGCAATTTGGGGCATGATACAGGGAAAAGAATAGAAGTACATTTTCAGAACTTGGTCTCTCTTTCTCCACAGCTTGCAGCCCAGATGTCCATGAAGGACTGGATATGGAAGGGACTATTTTTGATATTAGTATGGCTGACAGCTATCAAGAGTGTCAAAAAAGATGTACCAATGACAACCGTTGTCATTTTTTTACATATGCCTCTGAAACATTTCCAAATGCAAGCTTTTGGTAAATACAGGTTGGATTAATTTCCCTGTACAGCCCTGTGCTTTAGTAGAGTAAATCTCAGAGCAGTCTAAGGTGCAAGAATTTACTCAAGGACATTCAATTTATTTCTCCTTGCAATGTTTGTTCACACTTACAGGTAGGAAAATGTCAATAATAAATTTGCTTTCATTTGTCCATTGGTGACAAAGACATCAAATTATTGTAGCCCTGAAAAAACCTAAACTCCTCTGAAGGTGCTGAAATGCAAATTATATTGGTAGCTGTGCTGCATGTTTGCTTTGTTCAATCTTCCTCTACCTATTGTTCTGAAAATAGCATCATCAGAGCAGACACAGAAATGATTTCATTTTTATGAGGCTTATTTTTTAGCTCTTAATCTGCTCAATTTTGCAAGTTAAACATTGTTCAGCTAGCTCTGTTCATCATTTGAAACCTGTTTTGGAGGGTGGAGACTGTTCTGGCTCATAACCAGCTCCTGCACCACGGTAGTAATTGTGGGTTCAGGAGTGTGGTTTAGTCCAAGGAAGAAGTCCAGTGTTTTCTTACCACTTTCTTTATTCTTTGCAATTCAGTAAAAAATGCTTCTTGAAACATACCAATGTAGGAACTCCAACCAACATAAAGGTGCTTGATGAGGTTGTGTCTGGATTCTCTTTGAAGCCATGTCACCTTTCTGAATCAGGTAACTATTCTAAATCTCTGATTCATTTTAGTTTGAAGGGTTATATATCCTGAAATGCAGTCTATCACTGATGTGTATAAATGTTTCATTATGCAGAATAATTCTAACACAATCTTATTCTAAAAATAGAGTTAGCATACTCAGACACAAAGGAGGTTCATCTCTTTTAAATTTTTTCATGTTATCATTTGTCTTACAGAAACAGTTTCATTCTTTAAAGATCAAAAGAAATCTTTTATAAGATTAGCTTGATGAAATTGTGTGTTATCTATGTATTGTGAATACAAAAATGAAAGATAAAATCCCATGAAATTCAAAGATATGGGGAAATAGAAGGCTTTCTACATTCTGTTTGTATACTGTGAATCTAAAAATATGTATTCAACCTTCTTATTCTTAAATGAAACGTCTTTCATCTTTTCATCTTTTGCTATTTTTTTATTCTTATTTTTTTAATCTATATCCACTTTTTCCTACTGTGTGATATTTTCCCTTCTTAATGATGATGATGTTATTCTGCTTTCCTATAGCCTTATTTTATCTCACAGATAATCTAGTTTTCCTGTATGAATCATGTTTTGTAGAGACCATGTCAGTAATTTTTTTTTCTAAAATAATATTAAAATCAGTGCTTTGGCTACTGCTGAGCAGCACTGGCACAGCATCAGTGCTCTCCCCCCAACATTCCCCCCACCAATAGGCCAAGAGTGGGCAAGATCCTGTGAGGGAATACAGCTAGGTCAGCTGACCCAAATTATCCACAGGGACATTCCATATCACATGATGTCAGCTCAGCTGTAAAAGCTAGGGAAAGGAGGAGGAAAGGGGCATAATATATTATTTAAAACATTTGCCTTCTGGAGCAACCACTATGCATGCTGAAGCCTGGCTTCCCAGGAAGTGGCCAGGTATAAATTGCTGCTGGGAAGTAGAGAGAGAGTAAAATTATTGTGTTCCTCCTCTGTGGTTGTGTGTGCACAAGCTTTTCCTTTTGCTTTAGTAAAATTCTTGATTTCAACCTATGACTCATTTTCCATTTCATTCTCCCTCCCCCATCTAGCTGGGAAGCGGGAATGATAGAGCAAGTTGCTGGGCACCTGGCCTCCAGCCAAGGGCAACCCACCACAGTCCTTTTTGATGCCCAGAATGGGCTTTTCCTATAAAACTGGCTTTACCTCAAACCTCGAGTTCTCTGGATTTTACCCTTCCAATTCTCTCCCTGATCTTTCTGTGGGGGAGTGAATGGCTGGTGGGACTTGATTGTTGGCTGGGATTAAACCATGACAGAATGTGAAAATCAGTCTTGTTCCTGCCTGTCTTTCCCTCCTTTCTGTGCCTTGTGAGAGAGGTAAGAGCAGAAAGAGAAAATAAAGAAATTGTGTGATCATAGAAGGCTTGACTGCTCTAGTGCATCAAGAGGTCATCTGATGAGATCAACTTCCAAATCCGAGATAAATCAGCTATGCCTGCCCAGACAGAGATTTGTAGAACGTAGTCATAAGCGCTCTGTAACATCTTCTGCCTTGCTGTTTTATCAATATATGAAATAGGTTTATCTGAATATTTGTGGGGCTTTTGCTGACTTTATTTAGATTATCCCTTTTTATGTGGCCTTTCAATTTGTGCCTTTGCCTTTCTGACTTTATCCTTATGCATACATGTTATTGCACATTCATATTACATATAAGGGTTTTCTGCCCTTTGCAAAGTTCTTTCCTTGAGGTCATTGGATATTGAGCAAATGATCACTGAACATGATCCTTGAGATCACGGGTTAGCTTCTCTAAAGTTTCAGATCCACGTTTATGTTTTAAATATAACTTCCTTTAGGAACTACCAATTTTCCTGAATGCTATTTCCCCTTAACATAACATTTTACTACTAATTGTCAGAGTTAATTTAGTCTTATTTTCTAGATTTCTGATTATTCTGATTTTTTGCTGTTCTTGCTGTATAATTGCTGCCAAGTATTGTTGTCTTTTCTTGCCTATGTTTTTTTGAAAACCTCATTAAATTAACAGGAAACACATATAAGATCTTCTTTTTCCTAGTTTTCCCTTTCTGTAGAAAGATATTCCCAGTATGTTTCCATAGCACACGGGGGAATATTGACTTGGTTGCTGTGCTTTCTCAGCAGCTGAAGTTCTCTGCTGCCACCAAGTCCTTCTTTCAGATCATTTCAGTAGTTTTACTATCTCTACAGCTTGATAAGTTCAAGAAACATCCTCTATGATGATGCTTCCTATTTTTTTTTTATTATTTTATTCTGGCACTAGGATTTTAACTGGGACTTCAAGTATATCTTTGATGAAAGAAACTCATAATCTCCTTTTAAACATGCTAGTACTTCCTGCAATCTGTAGTCTGGTTCTGCCAAGCCTCTGTTGTGTTATTTTGGCCATGTCAGAGGGCAGACTGAACAGCTCTCCTTATTCTGCTTACTTTTCAAATAGTAAAAGAAGTGTTAAGAAGATCATCCCAGTATTTTTTTTTGTAGTCTTCACAAGAACCTAATATACCTATTAAAAATTATTTTAAAGCTTTCCCTATTAGATTAGCAAATCTCTATCATAACATGTCATTCCTCTTTTCTTCTCTATGAATCACATCCCTTTCAATAGAGCTCTCAATGACATTACATATTCAAAAATGTTCTTGAGACAGTTTTTGGTTAAAATGTTGTGTTATCTTTCCATCTTATAAGTCACAGAAGGAAAATGGTAAAAAAGGCAAAAATGAATAATCTGTAAATCTCAATATTCTGATAACATACTAAAGTCATTGGAATTTTTATATTTTTGTTCCTTTCTTATACAGATTGTCAAATGGACATTTTTGAAGATCAAGAGTTTTCAGGAATTAATGTTACAAGTTTTTTCACTCCTGATATTTCTGTCTGCCAAACTATTTGTACATATTTTCCAAGGTGCTTGTTCTTTACATTTTTTACCAAGAAATGGAAAATAGAATCTCAAAGGTGAATATGACAATTAAATATAATTATCTACACAGAATTTTTCAAATTTATTTTTTAAAAACAGAGAACCTTTTTTTTAAATACTAATTCCTTTTACTTATATTAATTTTTGTTGAAAGGCTATTTTCAATAAAGCATAGCCTTTGATGGTTTTTGATCATAAATTTATATTTTCCTGTGGGCATTTTAACTGTTTTCCAATGTGATCAGGGATTTTGTATTGTGGTTGTGTGTCTGGTCTTAATCTGAATAGAGTTATACACATCAAAAATGCAGTGAGCCTCCAGATAGTTTTGAAGACTTAAAGCTGAATTTTATGACATTATTAAAAGAGCCATCTGGTTTCCTGGCAGGGTGAACTTATTTACTTGAAAAGATTTTTCAATTTAGTTAATGGGTTTAAAAATATTTCTATTTGGCTTCCGTCTTTCATACTTAGTAGTGAGTATGGTTCAAAATCAACATTCCACACAAACCAGAAGAATAAAGTTTCAAAGGAATTTCAGGGAGAAGCAAAGCTGAGATGGCATGCATCATTTAAAGTCACCTCTTCTATATATGTATAAATACTGCACAACCTTTAGTAGTACAGTAATATAAAAAACTGTAAGCACTGTAAAAACTGCCTCAATTTAGTGTGAAGTAGTGAAATTAGTGAATTCATTTTCATGTGAAATGCTCCTACAGATTGAGACTTGAGAGAAGAGAGCGTATTTAAGAAAGAACTTCTCTTACCAGTACTCAAATAATTATTTTTGGGATGTGAGAACAGATTTAGTTATTGTAAAAAATATTTCATTTTAGAAATCTTTGCCTTCTGAAGGCATCAACAAGTGGAATTCCAGAGGGGCTTGTATCACAAGAAAATGCTGTATCCGGTTTTGGCCTCCTAAATTGCAGAAAATCTTTTCCTGGTAAACAATAAATTGCAATAAAAATACTGATTTTGAATTAGTCTAATTAATAATTTTCTGATGCCTGCAATGCAATCATTCTTACAGCCTGCAATTCTCGCACTTACACTCATATGGATTTTTTGGGAGATGAACTTAATGTTACTTACACTGAAGGACACAGAGCCTGTCAGCAGGTTTGCACAGACATGATCCGCTGCCAATTTTTTTCCTATTCTCTCCTTCAAGGTTCATGCAACAAGGAAAGGTGAGATATATTTTTAAAAATGTTTAAATATTGCTGAAATAATAATTCCACAGATGTGATGAGGGAGTAACATATGTGTTCTTCAATTAAAAAATAAATAGAAACTAAATGTTTGCATTAATTCATTGGCAGAAAGTGTGCATGTCACCTAAGAATGTCCTCAAATGGATCTCCAGTGAAAATAGTACATGGGCCAGGAAGTATCTCTGGATACTCACTAAGATTATGTAAAAAAAAAGCCAGTACTGGTAAGTAAAACTTCTTTCATGAAAAAGAGCCAGTGCTTCTCCAATTTCAGTATATGAGGCCCAGTCATGTTTTTTAAGTGGTTTCTTTGCCCTAATGGGTGATTTTGTGCAGTTAGAGTGTTCTGAAAAAGTGAAGTTAGTCAGGTCTTCACATTGCAAACACCACAATAGCACTGCGAATTTGGTTTTTATAGACTTCATGATCATAAATCATGAAGAATGTATTGTGTATCACCTTCCCTAGATGGTACCTATTCAGTGATCAGCAGTAGTCTTATCTTCATTTTTCATTGGTAAGTGCAGGCTGTCTTTATTAAATTATTTCTGTAGTGTGTATGCAGCATTCTGCAAGAACAATTAGGATTGTTGGTGGGACAGACTCTTCCCCGGGGGAATGGCCATGGCAGGTCAGCTTGCACGCGAGGCTGAGTCGCCAGAGACACCTCTGTGGGGGCTCCATCATCAGCAACCAGTGGATTCTCACAGCTGCTCACTGCGTCTCAAGGTGAGGCCTAAACGTACAAAGAAGCTCCCAAGTTTGATTAAACATGTGAGATTAATTGAGGTTTACATTTCAGGATAATAACAATGAGAACTAGAATTAGATGAACTGCTTTAATGAAACCAGAAGGTGACATTTTCAGGTAGACTGTTCTGTTTCCTCAAGTAAGTGGGAACTTCATACTTTATCCCTTTGTAGAATAGTATTGTGCTGCTGATGCTAAATTAATTTAATGAACCTAGAAGATGAAATTCTAGAGCAGACAACAGATTTACAGAACTGTAGAGATTCTCATGAGGTACAAGCCTTTTCTTACTGTAATACTGCATTAGGCTGTTTATTCACAGTCTGTCTTTTCCCCTCAGTCTTGAGAATCCCAACATTTGGCGTGTTTATGCTGGCATTTTAAGACAATCAGAAATAAATGAGGATACGCCCTTCTTCAAGGTGGAAGAGATTATCATTCACTCTCAGTATAAGTTCGCACAGATTGGATATGACATCGCTTTAATGAAGCTTGTGAATCCTATGAATTTTACTGGTATGTGGTGTATTGCAGAGGAATTCTGACAATGTGCAGGATGACACAGGGCTGGCAGTGCTATGGCACTGCATGACACCTGAGCTGGCTTTCTTTTTTATGCTGGTACTGGGGTTTGAGGAGAATCTGTTCTGTTGGCTTTGAAAAGAACATGGGTGGCTTTAATTTATGTAATGGGAGTGATACACAGTGTAAGGGACAAAACATAACTTGGAGGCTGTCATCAGGGATCATGTGGATGCCCACAAAACCTTACAGTTGCACTTGTCTCTGCTGGTCAAATTAATATTTCTTATCATATTTTAGATCTTCAACTACCTATTTGTCTGCCATCAAAAGAAGACTCTAGCGTATTTTATACTGACTGTTGGGTAATTGGATGGGGTTACAGAAAAGAAAAAGGTACAGACAAACACTTTTTAAACAGTGAATTCTTTTATTTTTAGAATTAATATATTTGACAAAAAGCAACTCAGTTTTTTAAAAAAGAAGAAAATTCTTCTCTGTTCTTAGCTACCATTATTCCTTCTAGACAGTACTTTAATCCTTCATTGGAATTTATTTCTACTAAGACATTACAAAATGTAGATGAAAGGTGTATTAAATTATCATTAAATAGGTCCATGCTCTGACACAATTGTTAATTTTATAAATTGATTCAATAGTTTAAAATACCTGCGAATTCAAGTTTAAATGTATGTTGTACGATACTCACATTCTTTTCCTTAGATTCTCACTTAACCCCAGTTATCTGGGTTTGCACCCTCCTTTTTATTTGCCTACCTGAAACAAAGGGGAAAAAACTTACTGCTGAACTGTTTTGAATTGCAGTCTGCACATAACCCATGGTTTTTTGTTTTTTTTTTTTTTACATGATTGTATCCATATGACTTTAGAAATCAGAGATTGAAGTATGCTGCTTTTATTATTCTGAAAATTGGTTATAAACAATGCCAATGACTTGCGTTTTGATAGTAGGTGAGATTTGAACTCTGATTTTATATGGATGTAGGCTGAAAAGCTCTTAATTATGAAGCTATGATTTTACATTTATTTATTTTTTTATATTTTATGTGTAATTTTTATATGTTTATATAGATGTATCCACACCTATTTAACCTTTTCCTTTATACACCTGCCTATCTGGAAGTTATAGTTCAATGTGAAATCTTACAAATTTAGGGAGACACTCTATAGACAAATCTCTTCTGTTAATTATTAGAGAAAAGGCTGCTCTTAAACTCTTTTATTTAGTCTGCTTTCTGCATCTTGAAAACTACTGGGATAGACAGCAGCACAGATTTGGCAGCTGGAAGATGGCAAACTTATTGCAACACTTTACTAGGAAACACTTTACTAACACAAAGCAATGCAAACCGCAATGCTCCGAGGGCCAATGCCCTGAGAGCCATTCACATGTGAGGATTCATTGCAGATCACAAGGGACTTTTGAAGCTTTTCCAGTCATGCAAAAGAAAATGGCATTATAAAAACATTTAAATTAGAAGACAATTCCCTTTGTTTACTAACACAAAGAAAGGAAAATTGGAGTCATGAACATCTATTAACACTCTAGAAGCAGCCGTCTCCCACTTTGCAGTATCGGTGTATGGAGATTTCTAGAGGTGAATTTTAACCTTTATTTTGCTAGAATCAAACATATGTCTGCTCATACTGCCTTTTACATAGGTCGGGTACAAGATATTCTTCAGAAGGCTCCTGTTCCCTTCATGTCAAAAGAGGAATGCCAGGCGAGGTACTGGAAGCGAAGAATAGGTGACAAAGTGATCTGTGCTGGCTATGACGAAGGTGGAAGGGATGCCTGTAAGGTAATGACAAACTGTAGTGTATAGTTATACATTTCAAACATATGTTCAAATATGTAAGTGAATACTATAATTATTTTTAATTGCTATTAGAAAAGAATGATTATCAACAGAGCTTGTAATTACCTTGTCACGTTTTGTTGTCAAAAGCACAGAAAAACAATGCACATGGAAAATGTTTCATATATGAATATATTGAATATATGTGTTTCATATATTGAAATCTTTAGGGATAAATTCCATGGATAGGAGGCTCTCTGAGTGTGGATATATAGATATTCATTTAGGGAATAAAGCAGTATTCCTTCAGACTATCAGAAATCCAAAGACAGCAAGTATAGTATCTTGAAGCATTTCTCCAAACAAAACAGATTTCCTATGTGGTTTATTTTTTAAAAATTTCTTGGCATAAAATACAGTACATAAAAGCTTATTTTAAATCACCAGCTGTGTACAAACCAGAAGGGAGGGTGCTAGCAATGCTATTAAAATGCATGGGGAGTAGACAGCTAAAAACAAGCTGTGCAAACTGCTCTGTTTGTAATTAGAATTGAAAATGTCACAACAGCGTGAGTTCCATGAGCAAAATTCTCTGCTCAGGTGTAAGCTCACGCACTTTCCCCAGTTTAAATATTCTGAGTTAATTTCTGCTAGAAGCAAATAATCTGATTATTAATACTAAATAAAGTTTTGACTGCAAACATTTAACAGTTAATATTTGTATGTCAAAATTTTACTTGCAATGATTGGATAGGAATAAAAATACTTGGAGCTGGGAAGTAATTTTTCCTCTATGCCAATTAACCTTTATCTGATACAGTGTAACAGAACATGGAGATGCTCTTTTAAAAAGTAACACAGATGCTATTGTCTTAACAACTCATAATTACTCTACAGAACCTTTTGTTGGTTAGGAATAGGAAAAGAAAATAGAAAGGTATTTTATCCTGAGGGGGACACAGTCGCTCAAGATAAGCCACATGGAGAACTGAGGTACTAAAAACAAGGTTAGAAGAAAAAACACTGCCAAATTGGCTCGTTTTCTCACTTGAATGTATAGTTTTCATTGGGTTTTAAATCACTGGATGTAGATAAGTTAATAATAATTTTTAAAAAGAAAATTTAAAAGCCAGTAGTTTTGAACCTCCATGGGAAGTGGAAATCATTTGCAATGATTATTTAGAAAACAGTTTACTGAAAAATAAGAAAACCTGTTTTAGTCCTCTCTTAATTAGCCTTAAGTGAAAGAGATCTGGGCAGTTATGCTGAAAGTAACATCAAATGATGCTGGTCTTATTCAAGGCTTTCTTTGTGACAGAAATACTGATGGGGCCTCTTCCTTGCGTGCTCTCTCTTTTTCTCCTGTGACACAGGGAGATTCAGGAGGGCCACTGTCATGCAGGCACGAGGAGGTCTGGTATCTGGTGGGCATCACCAGCTGGGGCGAAGGATGCGCTCGCCCCAGGCAGCCGGGAGTCTACACCAAAGTTGCTGAGTATTCAGACTGGATTCTAGAAAAAACTACACAGCATGAACATTACTGACTTGTTCTAAGTGATGGTTTGGAATAGCAACCCTCAGAGCAATGTGATAAAGCGTATTTGTGTTTTTTAAATGGTGTTTTTTGTTAGTCTGGAGTGTAAAAGGCTTCTTTTAAAACATAGAAAAGCAGGAATGAATGAATTCTCCTACTGAAAAATAAAAAGCAGTGATAAAAATAAACTCTGTGATAAAATCACTGATTTGGCATTAAAAAAGTTATGGGTGAGCCATGGAATTTTCTGTCCTTGGTAGAATAAAATGGGAGTGGATGAGGTTGCAGGACATGTATGGACCTGGGAACTGGGAACTACTGACTTAGAAGGTTGCAAAACAGCAAAAAGGAATTTCCCTCCCTTCTCTGAACATGGCTGTAAAGCTTATTAAAGGGCTGGGGAAAGGGAAGCTAAGTCATGGAGATGCCTACATGGTTGCATAAACCTAGTCTCCTTAGGGAATATGCCAGAAAATTGTCAGTACTAACCAAGAAAATAAACCCAGAGGTCTTGGCAAGTTCATCAACAGTTTTATGAGTGTGGTAACAGTGCTGTGTGTGAGTTGGCGCAGGCAGAGGGAACAGCCACTGGCCTACTGCTGAAATGCGAAGGCTGAATGTTCTCCCTGGCTGGAGGGCCCCTGGAGCAGCCCCGGGCAGAGGGACAGACATGGACACAGAGACCATCAAGCCCAATTGACACTGGAAGACCCCGTCCTGCTGTTCCAGAGCTCTGCCAAGGGTTTGCACAGACAAGGTTTGCCTTCGTGCTATGATCTTCCTTGGGCTTTGCTCTCCTCAGGTCTAGGTCCCTTGGGGTTTCTCCAAGTTACCAAACCCCTCTGTTATCTATACACAGATGTTCTCAGGGCACACAGAAGAAGGCATAAAATATATATTTTTCTACATTGCTACTCTCCAGACTTTTTGCATTCCCAGGTGCAAGGACACTTGAGCGAGTTTATAATCCCCATCAGTCTTCTACTTTTAACCTATTTCTCCCAATACTCTTTCACTTGATTATTCTAATTTCTGTGGAAAAGTTTCTGATAAGAACAATAATAAGGGTCTACTTCTCTTGAGGAAGAATTTCCAGAAAAATAAATAAAAGGATCCTCTGCTTTAGAGGGACACAATGTCAGTGGCCTTTAGCAAAATATTTTTATTTTCCAAATATCTAACTTGATTAAAGAAACAACATTTTCCTTTTCCTATTTTTCCTTATTTCCTTGTATAATTTTCAGTTACTTTGTGTGAGGTAGCAAACATATTTAATGGCTGAAATTAATACTAGAGTGAGAAACAGCGGTCAAAAATTAATTACCTTCCCACAGTAAGAAGCAGCATTTCCCACTGCATCGGAAAGGAGAGCAGGGTACTATCACTGTCTTTGCCAAACTTTATGAGCTTGTTTCCTAATCATCTACATTACCATAATTGCTGAAAATATGTTCCAGAGTGCTACTCCTAATTGCCGTACACCACACTGGGAGGTAAACAGAAGGAGTGGCTCTGCGAGGGAATGAGGTCATGAAACAGAAATTAAAAATCAAATTTATGGGAGAAAATAATAAACTGAAATCTGCTGAAATTTACTTTTGTATTTAATTTTTTTAAGCTTTATTGGTAAATAATGCTGAGAAAAAAAATCCACACTGCAAGCTTATACTCCTATCTGTGTCTGGAGTCAGGGTGTGCAGTGCTAAGCTGACTGCAGTCAACAAAATTTAAATCCCAAAGCTGTATTCAAAGGTTGGGGAGTTGATTTAGTTCGCTTGTTTATTTTGAATGTATCAGAAAACAGATAAGGGATGAAAACAGTCCAGACTTAACAGGAGGGGAGAGCCAATGCTGCTGTTGCAGGCACATCTGGGGAAAGAGCAGTGGCCCCACAGTGGACTCCTGGTGACAGGGGCCTGAGCCACTGGGGTGCACAGTGACAAAGGTCTCACGCCTTGGAAGTCCCAAGTGCAGGACGTGGATGTTGAGAGAGCCAAAGGGCAGTGTGGTGTGCGCTGGGGAACTGGATCAAGGGTGAGAGGGAAGCCATATCACTGTGCTGGGATTTTGCCAACACTGCAGAAGCAGAAACAGGAGATAAAGGTGGGGGCTGATGTCTTTTTCACGCTCTGTTTAATCCACAGCTGGTTTAAAATAACAGCGAGCCTCAGACATGCTGTCAAAAACCTAGAGACTTAAATAAGGGACTGAGAAAGAAAAAATAGAATACAGGAGAAAAAAAGTGCAAGATTCTTGGCATTCAAGTGTGGTTCTGTCCTCATGGGAAAGGAATGAAGACAGCTGGAAAAGAGTTGCTGAAGAAAAAAAGGAATTGCTTCAGTACAAGAACAGAGTCTGAAACTCCCTAAAATAAGAATCATCAGGAGACCATCCAAAATGCTTGTCTGCCAATACTCAAACTAAACTAGTGTATGCTAAAGAGCATATGCAATGTCAATCTAATAACCTTTAAACTTTCTCATAATAATGCTGTCATCAGCTTCTTTTTCAAATGCACCAAGAAAGTATGTGTTATTGCTTTTTAAATTTTGTTTTCTCTTCCCCCAATTTTGTTTGTTTGTTTTCTGTTACAACATTTCAGGTTGTAACTATTGGAACAAAAAAAGAGCAATTGCATCTCAGCAGTGCTCTGTACACCCCTGGAGATCATGTTTTGCTTCTCAGTGGTGTACCAGGTGACAGCAGTATGTCAAGGGAAACTCAGCTGTTCTTGTGGAAAGGATAAGGGATCTCAACAGCTGCAGACATCCTCATGAGCAGCTGTTGGCCAGATTAAACACCTTATTCCAATATATTTTTATCCAAAGCAGATATTCATTGGCTGAAAGTGAGTATCAGGAATAGGTACATGAAGAATGCCAGAATTCATGGTGGCTCTATGAAGTCCTCATTACTTTGTTTAAGATGTGCTACATGAGGGAATGTCTGACCTTTTTGTGTGTTTATACACCAGCGTGGTATGTAATTCACTGAGACCTTTAGACCCGCAGATAGAAATGTGCTGGTGTTATTAAGCATTGCTTGGGCTTCCTGGTATTAATAGGTAACTTGCACTAAGTGAGAGACAGTTTATGACCTTTATTTATTCTCTCTTCTCCTCTCCTCTAACTCCCTGGGAAAAAGTAATTTTTAAAAAGCCAGCAGCCAAAAAACTTATCTCAATTTCATTAATGAAAAGCCTGGCCTTATACTTTAAATCTGTCTCTGTTTATGTTGGAACAGAACATAAACATCAGTGCTTTAGTTGTAATTTTGATGAATGGAAAGTGTCTCTGGTTATCCTGAAAGACAATAAATCTCATAACCTTACTTAAAAGAGATAGGTAGAAATTTTGGTAGGGGCAAGGGCCACTACTGATGTATTGAATGGCAGTATTGGTCTGGCCTTTTTTTTTGGTACAAATAAGATCTCTGATCCCAGAAATCTACAGGCTTGTTCAGGCACAGATGGAATACTTTATATGTGCTGTGACAGCCAGGAGAACAATTAGTTCATCACTGAGGGATATTCTTTTGCTGCTCAAGTGGACTCTTTAGCTTGCAATAACCTTCTCTGAAGTAATTTTAATAGAATTGTAAACCAAACAAACCCAGTTTCCCATTAAACTGTCAATGCAGTGTTTCGTACCACTGCTGGTACTTTGCCTGATGTCTGAGGTTGAAGTCTGACTTCTTGAAAGTGACCTGAGCTGTGAACAAGAAGACATAAAATCTCTCATTTCTTTTTGCTGGGAGAATTCAAAATCCTTGCAGTGAAGATCTGCAGAGATCAACAAGTAAGTCCATTTCCTCTGCTTTCCCAGCAGAGGGGAGTGGAACAATTTGGTATAAGCTTTCAGTGTAAGTTTAATTTGATCTGTGAAAAAATATTATTCAACTGTAATGAAAAATGCATCTCAGATGCTGAAATATAGCAAAGTGGATGGAATTAAAATAATTCACAGTGGCACTCCTCATAGTAGGAGAACTGTGATTACTTATTCTCTGCTTAATTTCCGGTATGTGTGGATGACTCTTTGAAAAATTATTGCTATGTACTTTTTTTAAAGTGAAATATCTGCATTATAATACATTCAAATTGTATTTCCACTTCAAACAGGAGGCAATATTATTTTGCTTCTGAACAATAATAGCAGACGTGCAATACTACATATTTATAGTGAAGCATTTCCTGGAGTAGTGAATGGATTGTTTTTCCTGTGATCTTTGTGATGTAAATCACATTATTGTTATACACAGATGTGTTAGAATTACTGTGGATTGATGCATGTACAAGAAAGTTTTTCATGTGTTATGCAGTGGAGTTTGGGGATTCCTTGATATTTTTGTTTTTGTTTTGGTTCTGTTGGTTTATTTGTTTTTTAAATATTCTGCAGTTACTCTTCATGTTTTTGATACTCTTTTCCCATCACAATGTGATGTTAGCCAATGTTGAGTCAGTTCCCATGATCTTATTAGCTGATTTATTTGTAGGAATTAGAAAAGTGTTTGTGTGGGGGAGAACGTTACCAAAGGAAAAGGACTGTATGTACAGGGCATGTAAGAGATTGAAGGGGGGGGGGGGGTAATAGAAATGAAAGTGATGTTAAAGTGACTTGGAATGAACAAACAAGAATCAGTGCAGCTTGAAGAAAGACCAGCTTAAAGAGCAGATAAGCGTCTGGATACCTGAAACTGAAAATATGATGGAACACCTAGACATCCTTTCCAGGTGCCCAAAACTGGAACCTGAAAATTAAATCATGTGTGGTACTACAATTCTTTCTGGGTTAAGAAGTTGTAGAATCATCTGAAGTGCAGCACTGCCCTAATATGACTGTGCTTGCTCAGACCTTATCATCATAAAACTCAGCTATGATTTGCTGCTCTACACTGCTGTACCAGATTCAATTTTCAGCCTCGTACCTGTACATCCCTTCCCGTTTCCACTGACTCTACCATCTGGGAGATTTTGTCTCCCAAAAACCTTTGTTTATTTCTGTCCCCCAAAGTTGTGTACAGTGATTTGGAGAATGGATTTAAGGAGGAGGAGATCTGAAAAAAAACTCTGTTCCAGGATGCTGTGGGGTGATGCAGCCTCCCTGCACGTTCCCAGTACAGAATAATTTTCTGAATGGTTTCTGTTGGTTGAGTGCTGTTAATGGAAAAGTGCTTGTAAAAGGACCACCATGTCTGAAGCTTCCGTGTTTCTGGACTGTGATTCCCTTTTGCAGTGCATGGTTCACTACTTAAGAACTTTAGGTGTGAGTATTTTGGTTTTGAACTTGTGCCCAACGTGTTGAGTAGGAAA